TTTTGACTGTAAATTATTAAAAGAAAATGTAATGGAATGACAAGGGCACGGACAAGAGTCCGTGGAGAATAAGAAATGTAAGATTTAAAAAAAAAAAAAAAAAAAAAAACCTCACTTAGCGAAACAAAACGTCAAGATTCGTCACGTAACCTAAAATGAATGTTATTTCCCTACCAAATAAGTTTCACTATCCTAAATACATAATTAATAAACCTTACTTTTATGGTTAGAAGTCATCCGATCGATTGTCGCAACAGCTTCCTCAAGATATGAGTGGTACAGGTATAAAACAAACTATACCTTCTCACACTTAAAGCTCAAATTTTTACAACATACTTAAAACTCTCCTTCGCCAAAATGAACTTTAGCTCATCAAATAGAAAGTTCATATTACCAAAATATACTTAAAACCCCCATTCGCCAAAATGAACCTTAGCTCATAAAATAGAAAGTTCTCACATATGTATACATTAGGTATAGGATCAGAGAGTAACGAATGGAGTTTCGTTCTCGTTCTTCTCCATTCGAAACTACACTTCGGAACGAGCGCCTATCTTCACTGACAAACAGACGGACGGACAATTAAATTTTTGACATTTCAAAACTGCCTAATTAAGGATTGATTAAGGATTGATTTTAAGTGTAGGAGAGCCATGCTTCGGCACGAATGGGCCGGCTCGACCGGAGTGATACTACGGCCGAGCAGAAAACCGACGTGAAGCAACCACAGCGTTGTGTTTCGTCGTGTGAGTGAAGTTATCGGAGGCCCAATTACCTTCCCCTTCCCCAATCTCCCCAATTCCTGAATCCCCAAAGATCCTCAAACTCCTAATCCCCAAAAAGCCGGTGACGCACTTGTAACGCCTCTGGTGTTCCAGGTGTCCATGTGCGACGCCGATTGCTTACCATCAGGTGATCCGTCAGCACGTTTACCGGCTTATGCCATAAAAAAAAAATGCTTTGACTTTGACTTTACCTTTATGCTTAGTAGTCATGCGATCGACCTTGGCAACAGCTTCCTTAAGATGAGAATAGTATTCCTGTAGGAATGTGGTCTCTTGTTCGAAGAAATCGTTGACATCTCTGACGGTGGCACCGAGGTATATCTCGTCTGTTGTGGTCGTCATCGACCGCATCTGTTGACGTTGTGGCAAGTAAGAAATACATAAGTCAAAGAAATTTTCAATTATTTTTTTAAGCCCCTCCTCTATCGGGACAATAGAGGGGGGCTTAAAATGTAAGGGGTCACACTACTCCACTTTTTGAGAAATTAAGTTCTCTTTTTCTCTCCATTTATTGTATATCCTCTTCCCGATTTTCCATATCCCTCCCCTTGCTCTCCTCTACTTTTCCTCTATTCTTTTCTTATTACGTTCTCCCTTTGCTGTTAGAAACTTTCTAAGAAATACTTTTCTTTCTTCTCCTCTCTCGTTTCTCTACAGCCATCCTTTTTCTCTACACCCCACTTTTTATCCCCCGACTCTGTCTCTTTCTCAGTATTTTTTCTTTTCCCCTGTGTTCCCAATCCTTTTCCTATCCCTACACCAAGCAACAATAGATAGAAAAACATATTTTCGAATTAAATATAAATTACTAGCGACCCGCCCCGGCTTCGCACGGGTGCAATATGTATATACATACAAACCTTCCTTAAGAATCACTCTATCTATTAAAAAAAACCGCATCAAAATCCGTTGCGTAGTTTTAAAGATCTAAGCATACATAGGGACATACAGCGAAAGCGACTTTGTTTTATACTATGTATTGATGTACTAAAAATAAAGAAGCATACCAAAAATCCAAAAAAACATAATAATTTACATACGAAAAGGGTAGGCAGAGAAAACATACACAATGTAACACCCACTTTTCACTATTTATGTTATGAGTCCCATGTAAATGGGGGTGAGCCTATTGCCATACACCGGACACAATTCCAGACCCCGTACTATGATGCTACTTTTTTACCAGAAACGAAACCAGGGGCAGAAGCAGACAAATTACTATTCGACCAGCCACTTAAGCTACTGAGATAAGTGCATGACCAGCAGCATCCTCGAAATCTAAAATGACGTAACTTTTTTTGATGACGGGGGAACCTTAAAAGGCGCCTAGTTTTTTGAGGATAAAAGACTGAGGGAGGGAAAAGAAGAGGGAGTATGGGATTTTATCTCACTAAAACCGCCCTGATGGCCACCCTCAAAACCTGTAAGGGGCACCAGCAGCTGTAGCCTAATGCCATTTAGCGCTTGTCTACATGTAGAATAGAAAATCAAATTGTTTTTAAGTGTGGGAGAGCCATGCTTCGGCACGAATGGGCCGGCTCGACCGGAGTGATATCACGGCCTCACAGAAAACCGACGTGAAGCAACGCTTGCGTTGTGTTTCGTCGTGTGAGTGAGGTTACCGGAAGCCCAATTACCTTCCCCTTCCCCAATCTCTCCAATCCCTGAATCCCCAACAATTCTCAAACTCCTAATCCCCAAAAAGCCGGTGACGCACTTGTAACACCTCTGGTGTTCCAGGTGTCCATGGGCGACGCCGATTGCTTACCATCAGGTGATCCATCTGCTCGTTTACCGGCTTATGCCATAAAAAAAAATTATATGGAATTGACATAAATTTTGACACTTGTCAGTGTCATCCCCATATATTTTGATTTCTACTCTCTCTGTAGACAAGCGCTAAAGTGGCGTTTGGATAAAGGCACAGGTCTTCTAAAAGAGACCTGAGTGTCAAGCACGAATTACTATCGCATTCGCCGCTCTGATTGGTTGGTTCACTGGTGCGCCGGCCAATCAGAGCGCCGAGCGCGCTCGATACTATTACGTTACGAATGCGATAGTAATTCGTGCTTGGCACTCTGCTGCTACAGAGCAACGCCTGGTGCGGCACATCCCTAGGGAGACGAGTGTCTCCCTTGAGCCTCGCTGTGCACGATGGCACGTGACCACCGTGCCACTGTCTCCAATGAGTGGGCATCTAAAGTCCCCACTGTAGCACCCGTGCGATCCCCAAGCAGTAATTGAGAAATGAGGGGATGATGATTACCGAGTAAAGCCAAAAGCTGAACATAAAGAAGACTCCACTCTTAAATCACCTCCAGTGTCGTGAATGCATTTACAAACAAACAAAAACAATTTTTCACCATTATTATTAATATTTACCACGTTCGGTTGTTTCGAGTTCGCATCTTTCGATTTTTTCGGAATCGGATCAGAATTTCGGAAAAAATTGGTTAGGAAGAAAGAAGTTTGTTTGGACTGCTGGTAAACATGCTTGCTGAATGATTTCGACTCCCCACTGCCGAAAGGGAAGCTCTAAACAAATAGAGATGGTGAGTTAAATGCAGACTTTTTTGAGGTTGGAAAATCATCAAATGATTCCCCCCACCTTGAGAGAAGCGAGTGGAAGTATCTGACTCTGTTACTGACTACACACCCCATTCCTACTCCTGCTTCAAGCTCAGCTTTTATTATTATTTATTTTTATTTTACTAATTTTTGTAATTAGTATAATGCGTCAAGCGTGAGGTGTAGTATCTATGTAAGATCTATGTTATATAATGTAATGTATCGCATTTGTATGAGTAGTAATAAAAGGTAATCGATCGGGAACAGACGTTTTATTAAAACATACTCCCTTCAAGCGTGTCTTTGCATTGTTTTCACATATACGTACAGTAATGGAATATGTATCAGAGACATTGTAGAATATACTTTCTTTAAAAGAGTAACGAATGGAGTTTCTTGCTCGTTCTTCTCCATTCGAATCTACATTTTGGAATGCACCTAGCTTCACCTAGCTTCACTGACGGACTGCCTGACAGACTATTATTTATTTTGTATTAGTTGACGTTTCAAAAGTACCAAATTATAGTTTAATTGAAACAAATGCTTTGACTTAGAGCTTGGGTAACTCCTTGCGCTTATCCGCAGCCCGTTGAACAAGAGTATGCAGGTTTGTTTTCAAGTTACCAGGTCATGTAGTCATTATAAATTTTAGAAAAAATCTCAGTCATAAAACAGGGTCTGGAAATGTGCAAGTGACTACGGCAATAGCATACCTGGTAATAAGGTATTTTTTATTTTATGTAGGTTGCAGTTAAACTAATTTTGAAGTAAAATAAACTATATAAATAAAAAAAAATAACCATGTTTTACAATATCATTAAATAGAGCAACGTCTTCGCTCATCAACAGTCCGCCATGTTCTATCGATCTCAATCATACCCATTCATTCCGTTCGGATTCATTCACTCAACATCTTACATTACTTCACCAAGTATTAGGATACACCCACATACAATTCCAGATTTATGTGCATCTCTGCCTATCCCATTTTGATTTCAACCAACATATAATTGACAATTAACTCGTCGAGTACCGTCTTTGTAGACACAATTATAGAACAATAGGTTGCGGTCACCGGTGACCGCTTAGTGTTTGACAGTTTAAAAGCAAATGTTACTCCTAGTTAAGAAATGGTTTTAAAACTATGATTAAAATAATCTTACCAATCCTCCAATCAGATCCATCTTCCCTCTTGGTTTAGCACAGAGATCCTGTTCATACTCCAGGAAGACTCGGAGATGGGAGTCGTTCCTGAACACTGGATGAGCGGCCAGGCGCTGCAGGAATACTTCATGCATGGCCACCGTCTTCTTGAAGGTGGCTAGGTATTCGCTGTGAGGTGGAAAGGTACGTAAAAATATTTTTAATTAGGTGTGCAGGATAATTTTGACTCTAAATGTATGCTAGTTAGATTGGTTTTGAAATGAATAGTTGGTATATGTCTTTAAAAATATTTGGGGAATATGTTTTCCATGTTGGCAATCTCACTTTTCAGGTAGTGTCTAGAACCCCTCTGTGGTTCGAAACTAGTAGAGCTTTGCTCAGAATATTCACGTGTAACCCGCGATTTTTAGTTAATGAATCATATCGTCAATTATGAAAGCGTTTTTTTTATAGCATAAGCCGGTACACGACCAGACGGATCACCTGATGGTAAACAATCGGCGTCGCCCATGGACACCTGGAACACCAGAGGTGTTACAAGTGCGTTACCGGCCTTTTGGGGACTAGGAGTTTGAGGATCGTTGGGGATTCAGGAATTGGGGAAATTGGGGAAGGGGAGGGTAATTGGGCCTCCGGTAACCTCACTCACACGACGAAACACAACGCAAGCGTTGCTTGGTCGAGCCGGCCCATTTGTGACGTAGCATGGCTCTCCCACACTTAATTAAATTATGAATGAAAGTTCGTTTATTTTCGAAAATTTCAATTGCATAGAAAAAATTATATATTTTTGACTGAGGACTAGTGGTAAAAAAGTCCAAACTTACTCTTCCAATTCCTCCTTCATTTTGAGGAACTCCTCCCTCGTGAGTGCTCCCTCTCCCTCACCGAGCCGTTGCAACTTCTCGCGAGATGCGTCGAAGTCCGGCCTAGGGGGCGCTGGTGGGATCTGATAATAAAATGTTTAAGTTAAGCCTCGATGACACTGGGCTAGTCTTCAAGCTGCTAGTCGGCGAGATCGCGAGTAGCTTGTAAACTTGCTCCGTATCAGTGAGATTTTTACAATTTGCGTTTAAATATCCGATTGTAAATAAGCTGCTTGACAAAATAGTAAGCCGGGCTAATGGGGATGATGACAGGGTATGAAAATTAAAAATATAATTAGTCCGTAACTTAGGTAATGAAAAAATATTAGACACGTATTTTTTTTATTTTGTTGTATAATAAAACAATACTTAGATAAAACGGATTAAAGTTTAGGAGTGGGGGCTAAAACGTCATTACTTAGTATAAAATGTACTGAGAAGTGACGTCACGCGACATTTCAAATCAATATATCTTCGAAACTATTCGTTTCCGTAAGAAAATAAAAAATACGTGTCTAATGTTTTTAAATAATCTACCAGACGGACATTAAAATAAAAATTAGTCGTCTACCTTATTACTAGCCATTCGCTGGCGTGTTGGCCTGTAAGCTAGCCAACTAGCTGTGTGTCATCGTCGCTGCTAGTGAACTAGTTTTTTTTAAGGGATGGAAATCAAAGAATTACTACTCCCGCCTGGGTGAGGCGAGAGGGAGTGTCAGACTCTTACTGACTAAAAACCACCCCGTTCCTACTCCTGCACTTCGAGCTAGGGAACTAGTTGCGAGTACCTTTTTGTGTTTTGTACTTTTTATATCATCATTACTTTCCAATGTTTGCTAATAATATAAATTTGTATGTGTCTGTTTGCATTTCCGTCTTTTACTGCAGAACGGAGCTAGAAATTGACGTGAATTTTTTTTTGAGTGGACGTAGTACTTTACTACACTACTTTTGTCTTTATCTAAATGAAACAAGGGAATTTATTTCTGCAAATAGGCTACGTCAATTTTATCAAGCGCACAATGATGCCGACATTTCCTAACTGACTACTCTGAGAAGAAATGCCGAAACAAACTCAGAGGTCCGTCTCTTTTAACATACTAACACACTAAATACTCGCAGATACTCACAATATACCCCGCATACTCCTCGTTCTCTTCATATCTATCGTGTAACCACACAAACTCCTCATGTTGCCGTACAACTATAAACTCAGACTTCTGAAACTCCGGCAGTGTGGTCTTCGTGTGCACTGTAAACTTCACTTTTTCTTTCTCGCTTAGAGCGTCTGATATGTCTACCTGTGAAAGTAAATATTATGGTAATTAATGTTTTTTATCTGTAACGCCTCCGGTTTTCTAGGTGTCAATGGATGGTGTGTATGGCTTATCTTTAGATGATTTTTTTCCTCATTTACTGGCTTATACATCGCTTACCACCAGACAACATAATGGTCAAACGTCGGCACATCAAATAAAAAAATGAAGTGTAAAGTGAAGGGGGTGTATCCTTCACTACATAAGTAAATGTTTCAAAAAGTACCAAAAAACTGAACAAAAGGTTCAATCCCCGAATCAGGCAAATTATTATTGGAGTATTATAGAAAACTCCTATGAAAACGAAAATTTCCCAAAGTAGTATGTGAAATGTGGGAGCTAAATTGCTGTGCAATGGGATATGTGCACTAGGGCTCTTTCAGGGGACCCGGTGCCTCCATTTAGGTGTTGAGGGTGGCCACCGTGGTGGTTTTAGTGAGGTTAAAATCCCACTCCCTAATCTTTAATCCCCAAAAAGGTTAGGCGCTTTTCGAAGGTTCCCCCGTCATCAAAAAAAAATGTATTTATAAGAATCATAGCAATCGCTAGTCCATAGTCTTTGCCTACCCAGTACCCTCTTGTGAGACAGGCGTGAGGTTACATATGTGCCTTTTCAGGGATTAAAAGGAATGACTGAGCTATATTATGTTAAAACTTCTATCTTACCAACAAGCTATTGTCAGCCAAGCTGACATTTTCGTTAGGTTTCTTCTTATCCAGCTTGGGGTCTACGGAGCCAGGGGTCTGAGCCACCGGAGCTGACAGGGGATCATGGTTGGTTTCTTCCACACAGTCCTGAAAAATAGAAACAATTGAATATCAACTTACTCATATATATTGTTTTATTTGGTCTTTTGAAATGAGCACTTAGATTTACGGACACACTTATAAGTAAGCATTCTTTTCTATAATGACTGCACGGTTGGCGCGGTGGCTGGGCAACTGGCTGCCGCGCAACGTGTCGCGGGTTCGATTCCCGCACGGAACAACACTTTGTGTTATCCACAGATTGTTGTTCCGGGTCTGGGTGTCATGTGTATGTGAAATTGTATGTTTGTAAACGCACCCACGACACAGGAGATAATCCTAGTGTGGGGCAAAGCTTTTTTTTAATGAAAAAAAAAGAAAAAAAAATGGTAAACTGTATAATATGCTTTGTATATTATGGTAAATCACATAATAGAAGTACTTCTTCTGTAGTTCTAGTACTACTGTACAAAACAGGAATTTAATATAAGCTTTGCAATAACATAAACTTACTTTTTGTGGTGGCAACATTTTTTTAGTCCAATTTGTTTTTCTAATAACTTAGCAAAGGAGTATTCCTACTTAAATTACTTATTAGAAAAGAGGTTGAATGCTTATTGAACAATCCTAATAAGAATGTTAGAAAACATGGTAAAACTCATACAAAACCACCAACTAACTGATTTATCCTTCACACAATTAGGAAAATTAAACTACGTGAAAGATTCAATTATCACGGACACAAAACATCAATAAAAACAAGGTCGCGTCTAGTATCTGAACGAAAAAAAAAACAAAAAGCTTAGGTCCACGTCACATAGCCAATTAGCGATAGCGAATTAAAAACAAAACGAAATTAAACATCTCTTACAAAGAAATGCACCACATAGTCTTTATCTTGAAGTAACTGAGTCATAACCTTTAGATATCAGACGAAATTAACAAATAATACACCAATATTTGATCGCGGAGACGCCCCCCGGCAAAGTGCGAAAAACATATAATTTACCTTAAAATATCAATATTATAACGGAAAAACTCACCATCATTTTGAATAACAAGCTGGCAGCTAGAGGTTGGATATATATAAATTGAATTTATTTCACTTTCTTCCTTAAAATCAACAATCAAATTGAGCTACAAGTTTCCCATACAATTTGACACAACAGGAAATTCAATGATGATTGTCAAAATTGATCCTGTCAATACTAAATGACAGTATGCGTTATCTTTGACAGTAGCAAAAAGTGTTGCAAAGTATTTGTAATACTTTAAAACGGTAATATTTTCTGAATTTGATTTCGAAATGTAATATACGAATTTGTTCTAATGGTTGGATTCAAAAGCTGACAAAATTAAGTTTAGATTAACTTTAGAAGGTAGTTGAGCTCAGGGACACTCCTAGGTCTTCTTTGGTGTCATACCGCATTACATAATGCAGCAGCAGAATGCCACCAGCAAAGCTCCATTAACTGTGCGTTGTTTGTCTTTTAACAAAAACAATATTAAGTAAATGATTAGATTAGGTGTTAGGTAGATACATTAAATAATTATGTAAAGCCCCTTCAATACTCATTGGCTTTAGTTCGTTCTTAATATCCATTACAGACTGGACTACCTACGCAAACAAAAAGAATAAAATATTATATACTTTTGCAAAGCATTTTTAACATTTCAAAATAGGTACATTCGAAATACGCATGGTCATGTCACTTATCTTATTTTACATAAAATTATTATGATCTGTCGTCGTCGAAATTAGTATGAGTGGTCGCAATTACGACTGCCGGGTAAGGGGTCTCGGGTTCGACTCCCGGGTCGGGCAAAGTATTACTAGGTTTTTAAAAATTCTCAGTAGTAGCACGGAGTCTGGAACTGTGCCCGGTTTATGGCAATAGGCTCACCCCCTATTACATGGGACTCATAACATAAATAATGAAAAGTGGGTGTTACATTGTACAGTGATATAATGTGCCCCTCTGCCTACCCCTTCGAGGATAAAAGGCGTGATGTTATTTATGTTATTATGATCTGGATTACTAACAAAATTATTTACATTATGTACTTTTAAAATCATCAAAACTTATAACTATAACTACTAACTAAAACTACAAAAGTAAGGAAAAAAGAGTTTCTGCGTAAATGAAGTATTAGGATATTATAACAATAAGTCTTTCGTTTTCAATTATCAAATAAAGGATAGTTTTTCCTCTCTAGGTAAAATACAAGGTGTAGCCGGCCGGGATTTGTAAAGCGCATGCGAATTGAGAATCAGCTGGCTATACAACGATTTTTATACTTTAAAAATCGATAAAGTACGGCGTAGATATTTACAAAACGCATGCCAAAGTTTATCGATTTTCTTTTGACAGCAACATGTATTTCAGTGGAAAAAACTGTAACGAAACGGTAGAATTAAATACGTGATTCTATAATGTAAACGATGAATTTCGTTCTAATACAAACTTTGTACACAACTGTAGGTTCTTCTTGTTAATTTATAACTATCACGACTGCTTAAAAAAGAGAGAGAAAGCTCAAAATAAATCAGTAGCCTCGCTCTATAACAACCAATGGTGGTAATGTTCCAAGTGAGGCTGGTATCATTTTAGTAGTAGAACTCGAAGATCTGTAATGGTAGTGCAAAAAGTAAATTGTTGTTTTTAATTTATTTACACAAACTACACAACTATAATTCACAAAATGGGGACGCAAAAGCCGGGAGAATGGGCGAATTCCTTAATTGCCCGTTTCGAAGAGCAAGTAAGTGTTAAAATGTATTTAATTTATTTTGTAAGACCCACCCATATATGGAGTTCTATAGGAAAGTAAACAAAAAAATTTTTTTTTCTCGACATTACGTACTTATTTTACGTTAAATGATAGTTAAATGTATATCGTTATTATATTCCTATTTTTGTGTACATATTTTTCGGTAGTTATTGCGTATTTAAGTTTTTTTTTTCAATTAATATTATAATTTTATTCAGATAAAGTTCTTTGATTTATTGATCTACCCGGCATTATTATTTTAGTTTTTAGTGACTTGATATTAATTTTATTAACACTTCTATTTTATTTTTTTTACCTACAAGAAATATATAAAAAAATATATTTTAAGAAATGTGGGTAGGTACACAAATTAGTACTATGCTGATTATTTTTTGGTTCTCTTTTAAGAGAAAAAAAATTTTTTTTAGTAACTATCTAATTCACTTTGTACCTATTAAATATCTACTTTTGCTTTAGGTATCATGCGCTGTAATATCAAATAAAAAATAAAAAATGTGGGCAAGTTAATCTATTTGTAAAAGTTTATCTAAAATTTATATAAAATTATTAGCCTGATTGGCAATTATGCTTTCAAACCGTTTGGGGTTGAAACTTTAAGGCTGTGGAACCCAAGTGCACATCTTCTTTACAAAGGTATTGTAAGGAGGATGGTTGACACTTCAGGTGATCGAAGGATCAATCGAATATTTCTTTTTTTTTTTGAGGGGGGAAAATCTTCCAATGACTTCTCCCGCCCGGGTGAGGCGGGAGGGAGTGTCAGACTCTTACTGACTAAAAACCACCCGGTTCCTACTCCTGCACTTCAAGCCTGTGCCAATTTAGTTAAAGCTAACATATTTATTATAATTTTTTTAAGGTGTACATATCTTAGTTTTTAGTTATTTGTATTAATAATATTAATACTTAGTACCTATTCTGAAATAAAATTAAGACTTCGACTGCCAATAAAAAACTGTTGAAGGTAAATCCTCCGCTAATGCCGGCCACCGGTGACCCCCATGGCGTTTAAAGTGTTAATTCTTATTAGAAAAAAAAAACAATTAATACCTAATCTTGCTGGAACCATTGTGTACATAACATAACATCACGCCTTTTATCCCCGAAGGCAGAGGTGCACATTATACCACTGTACAATGTAACACCCACTTTTCACTATTCATGTTATGAGTCCCATGTAATAGGGGGTGAGCCTATTGCCATATACCGGGCACAATGCCAGACTCCGTGCTACTACTGAGAATATTTAAAACCCAATAATACTTTGCCCGACCCGGGAATCGAACCCGAGACCCCTTGCCCGGCAGTCGCACTAACGACCACTCGGCCAAAGAGGCATTGTGCACACATTCATCTTAAAGTGATACAGATAAATGAGGGTACCTACATAAATATTTTATGTTCAATTTGAAAGTACTGATTAAATTGACTGCATGGTTGGCACGGTGGCTGGGCAAGCGGTTGCCATGCAATATGTAGTGAATTCTATTCGTACACGGAGTCTTTTTTTTTTTTGTAAGGGGGGAAAATCATCGTATGACTGCTCCCGCCTGGGTGAGGCAGGAGGGAGTGTCAGACTCTTACTGACTAAAAACCACCCCGTTCCTTCTCCTGCACGTCGAGCCGGAGCCCCGTTTACCCGTTAGGTGTCTAGTTCTTTGTGATCCACTTTTTGTTTCTGGTTTGAGTGTCATGATTGTATGTGTGAACTTGTATGTTTGTAAACGCACTCACGACACAGGAGAAAAAGTGTGGGGTGTTGCCCCACAAATTTAATTCTTTGAGTACCGTCATTATAGACACAATTAAGATTAAGAACAATATGTTGCGGTCACCGGTGACCTCGCGGTGTTTGACAGTTTTAAAAAAAAAACTTAAAAAATTAACAAAAGTACCTAACTAAAAATCTCCAGTTACTCACGTGAATAATATACTGACAAAAGCTCTACTAGTTTCGAGCCTCTGAGCGGCTTTTCCTCATGAGCGGCGTGCGCGATCGCAGCCATGTCGCGCATCCTACTGACTAGCGTCAGCGCTTGCGTTGGTGTTGTTACTTGAATTGGGAGCCCATCGCGCCCTCTGCCGGAATCCAAACTACTAACAAAAATGTGTAAAAATAATTAGTAAAGTTTTTTTCCCCAACTCTTTATTATTTCTCTTTACATTACTGGCTCCATCCAAAGGTTGTCTGTAAGAAATCTCATCCTGCGATAAGACCGCCCATTGTACACACGGCCACACATCAATCTATACAAAACCAGTTTATCCTGGTGTCGCGTCGCATCATCTTTCCGCACATTTAACGTTCAGTTTATACTGGTTATGTAAAGCTATGTGTAGCCGTGTGTACATATTTTTATTTTTCTCTTTTAGTTTTTAAGGTGTACAATAAAATGTAAATAAATAAAAATAAAGAAAACAACAGATTTCTTGACAAAATGCCATTTATTAGTTTAAAATAATTGGCTTTATAATTCTTTTTTTCAATATCATCGTCATCATAACATTACGCCTTTTATCCCCAAAGGGGTAGGCAGAGGTGCACACAGAATTAACACGCACTTTTCAATATTTCTTGCATTTTATTGTCATACTTCAACTGAATTTTGCATGAGTAGTTTCTGGAATAACAGCTGCTTCGGGTTTGAGTCCCGCATGTAACAACTCTTTGTTTAGTTTATAAATTATTATTACTAGTATTTTAAAAAAATGCCTTCTCCTGCTTTGGGTTAGGCGAAAGGGAGTGTCAGACTCTTACTGAATGAAAACCAGGAACAACGGTTCCTACTCCTGCATTTGATCAGGAGCCCCAGCAGCTCGTTAAGTCCTCCGCGGCATTGTTACTAGTCTGGCTGGATATTTACTAACTATGGCATATGATAAATCAATTTTTTATTTATTTATTACTAGCTTTTACCCACGGCTTCGCTCGCGTCACAAAAGGATAAAAAGTAGCCTGTGACATAATAATATACAAATACACACAGCGCCATCTATACCAATACTTTTGTTTTCCCTCGCAAATGTCAAATTTTCCGGGATAAAAAGTACCCTATTATTTAATCCGGACTTCTAACTTTACGTCTGCAAAAATTCAAAGCAATCGATTTAGTAGTTACGGCGTGAAAGCGGAACAAACAAACAAACTCACTTTCCGATTTACAATATTAGTAAGGATTTTGTTCTATACAATTGGGTAGTTTCTAGGGTATCAAAATTAAAAATCTAATTAGTCCTTTAGTTAAATGATGAAAAAATATTAAACACGTATTTTTTCTTATTTTCACGTATTAAGTTGGGAGGTCGTTACGTCATAACGTGCTACAAAATGTGGCACGCTGTGACGTCACACGATTTAAAAAAAAAATAACGCGTCTAATCTTGTAAATTAATGTACCAGACGGATAAAATTTAGAAAACTATCCTATTGCATAAGGAGGACTTAAATGCTAACATTCTCTACCAGTCATCCTTTCCAGTCGTCATTTATGTTTCTTATTAAAATCTATTATTTTATTAATAACTAGCTTCTGCCCGCGACTTCGTACGCGTAATCCCATTTTTTCCCGTCCCCTTTCGTGATTTTCGGTAAAAAGTAAAAAAAAGTATTGGTTAAAAAGTATCCTATGTCGGTCTCCTGGCTCTAAGCTACCTCCCTACCAATTTTCAGCCAAATCTATTCTGCCATTCTTGAGTTATAAGTGGTGTAACTAACACGACTTTCTTTTATATATATATAGATAGATTAAGCCTTTGACTGCCGACAGAATACTTAATATTAAAAGCAAATAATCCGCAGTTGTTAACGTGTTTATTAATTTATTATTATTTTATTTATTTCTCATTCCCAGCTCCCCTACAAGACCGGTGCTCAGAACCTGCACTCCCGCATCAACGAGGAGCAGTGCAAGGCCTGCCTCGTCCAGATCAGCAAACACCGCTTCTCTCTAGTCATATCTGGCCTCACTAAAATACTGCAGAGGGTCAATGAGCTGGTGAGTCACCTCCTTATCTATACTCTCTCTTTACTAGCTGACCAGACGAACTTCGCATCAAAATTTAATTTTCTCTCCTTTTAAACCTTCCCTGGACTTCCACAAACCTATCAAGATCAAAATTAGCGAAATCGGTTCAACCGTTCTCGAGTTTTAGCGAGACTAACGAAATGAAATTCATTTTTATATATATAGACATAACATCACGCCTTTTTGTCCCCGAAGGGGTAGGCAGAGGTGTACATTACGGCACTTATTGCCACTGTACAATGTAACACCCACTTTTCACTATTTATGTTATGAGTCCCATGTAATAGGGGGTGAGCCTATTGCCATATACCGGGCACAATCCAGACTCCGTGCTACTGCTGAAATTTTTGAAAAACCCAGTAATACTTTACCCGGCCCGGGAATCGAACCCGAGACCCCTTGCCCGGCAGTCGCACTTGCGACCACTCGGCCAACGAGGCAGTCTATTATTTATATAGATTTATCTATATCATAATCATGATGGCTACAACCAGAGCCGTATTATCCCTAAGGCAAGGTAGACAAGTGCCCAGGGCACCAGCTTAAATATTTGCGCCGTGAGACTTGCATAGGTACCTAACTGCCTAGGGAGTGGCGGCGGCGCCAAACAAGTGTGAGAAAGCCATACTTCGACACGAGTGGGCCGGCTCGACTGGAGTGATACCACGGTAGAACAGAAAACCGACGTGAAACAACGCTTGCGTTGTGTTTCGTCTGTGTAAGTGAGGTTACCAGAGGCCCGATTACCCTCCCGCCCGCCTTTTCCCTATCTCCCCAATCCCTGACTGAATCACCAACAATCCTCAAATTCCTAATCCCCAAAAGGCCGGTAACGCGCTTGTAACTCCTCTGGTGTTCCAGGTGTCCATGGACGACGCCGATTGCTCACCATTAGGTGATCCGTCAGCTCGTTGACCGGATTATCCCATAAAAAAAAACAAAATTAGTGTTAGGGTATAATTTTACATTTTTTGAATCCCAGTAATAAGAGGTGAGGCAATTGCCAAATACCACTATTCCAGGACTCCATGCTACAACTGAGACACTTTTGAAAAACCGAAAAAGACTCAATAGTTGTTTGTCTAACCCAAGATCGAAAAAGACTCGGCTTGTTCAGCAGTAGCACTTCCAACCACTCGATCATTGGTGGCTTGTTCGTCCGCGAGTCACTTAAGGGGCCAGTAGATTACCAGCGCAAGGCCCTGTCTTGCACATCCTGAACTGGTCCCATTTCACTGCAGACTTGAGACATGAACATGTATCCATCAGTACCTACTAATACAATGACTTATTTGTATACACGGCTACACATCGAGCTTTACATAACCAGTATAAACTGAACGTTAAATGTGCGGAAAGATGATGCGACGCGACACCAGGATAAACTGGTTTTGTATAGATTGATGTGTGGCCGTATGTAAATGTCACTTGTTTTTTGGCGTGAAATAAAGTTTTTTGCTTTCTTTCTTTATCATCAAGGGAGGAATTTTTATGTGTGTCCCATATTTACCACTTATATACTCTTTGTTTCAGTACCAACCTACAATATCAATGGGCTCGAATAGGCCGCAGACAGAACAAGAGAAAGGCTACCACGATAGCCTAGTCATAGTTCTGGACACACTGGAGATATGCCTCAGTTCACAGCCCAAGGACACAGCCAAGTATGATGAGGCCATGAACGTGAAGATACTGCTGAGAGAAGTCTGCCAGTTCATATGTAAGTAGTACTTTATAATATTGTACCTGGATGACTGAGCATTGCTCGGTGTTTTTCAGTACACCAGTTTTTTAAACTGTCAAACACCAAGCGGTCACCGGTGACCGCAACCTATTGTTCTATAATTGTGTCTACAAAACCGGTACTCGACGAGTTAAAAGAAAAATTATAGAAATAAAATAAAAAAGTGATAAATAAAATAGGACAAAAAAGATAAGTAAAAGAAACACGCGGCCCGAGATTTGAACCCCCCACTAAGCTATTTAAAATTTATACGTAATGGCGAAAAGCTTCGAATTCTAATAAGGATTTTTATTCAATGAGAAACAGAGAGAACACAATATTTTCTGAAAATGAAACCTAGCTATTTTGATTTATCGCCCCGAAACCATAGGAACCAGTGGGGTCACTATGTGAAAGGTTCCGTTCAGAGGTTTTTTCCGAAGTTGTCTGTTTTTTATTGGAAACGGGGACCTATTTGCAGGGCCGTCTGTGACTTTGAATTCGGGGCCTATTTGAAATGATTTTTTTGTTTTGTTTTTTTAACGTTAACGCCACAATACAATTTTCTCCGTTATCGTGGTACATACAAGTTCGCATACATATGACACCGAGACGCGAAACAACAATTTGTGGAGCACACAAAGATTTGTTCCTTGCGGGAATCGAACCCGCTAGAAGTTGCGCGGCAATCGGTTGCCGTGTCCGTCGCAGAAATTGTCGGGCTTTCGGAGCCCCCTGAGGGTGGATACGGGCCCCGAGTGTCCGTATATTAAGACGATACTGCCATCTGATGAATTTGTCACGAGCCCCGACCGGTATAATGGGGTAGACGACTAATTTTTATTTTAATGTCCGTCTGGTAGATTATTTAAAAACATTAGACACGTATTTTTTATTTTCTTACGGAAACGAATAGTTTCGAAGATATATTGATTTGAAATGTCGCGTGACGTCACTTCTCAGTACACTTTATACTAAGAAATGACGTTTTAGCCCCCACTCCTAAACTTTGATTCGTTTTATCTAAGTATTGTTTTATTATACAACAAAATAAAAAAATACGTGTCTAATATTTTTTTATTACCTAAGTTACGGACTAATTATATTTTTAATTTTCATACCCTGTCATCATCCCCATTGGGTGCTTGGCAAGTACTAGTCGAATTTAATACTTTTTTCGAACTGTCAAAAACGACAGTTTTCTATGAATTTTGTACGAGATTGTGTATTGTGACGTCACGGTTTTTTTGCGTTGAACACCATACTTATTTGTTAAGAAATTGTTGAAAGAATACTAAAATTAAGTTGATCATAAAATCAATTAATGAGAGTGTGATTATTTTTTAATATTTTGTTGTGTTGAACAGTCGAAATAATTTATTTTTGCTTAAGGAAAGTATCCAATTATGTCACTGCCGCATACCTAATTCTAATATTTCTCCCACTATTCCAGTTTCAATATACTACTACACAGACATGCGCAATGAGAGCACAGTGAACAACACGTTACTGAGACAGCTGGCCAGCAAGGTGCTGTTCGCGCTCAGTCTCAACTTCTTTAACGCTGTGTTCAATCGAATCAGTGCACGGTTACAGGTTCGTATAGTTGCTATATATTGTGAATATTTTTTTAACGAGCTGACGGTATTCCGTCAGCTCGTTAAAAAAATATCAGGTATTCCTGATGGTAAGCGATCAGCGCCGCCCATGAACACCCGCAACGCCAGAGGAGTCACAGGTGCGTTGCCTACCTTTTAAAAAGGGATACGCTCTTTTCTTGAAGTTTTGAAGGAAAGAAAGATATATCGAAAGATCATTTTATATTCAAAAATACTTACTAGAAAGTTCTAATGTAGGTTTATAAAAAAAATAGACATCACATTAACATCACGCCTTTAATCCCCTCAGAAGTAGGCAGAGGTGCACATTACGGCACTTAATGACACTGTACAATGTAACACCCACTTTTCATTATTTATGAGCCCCATGTAACAGGGGGTGAGCCTATTGCCATACACCGGGCACAATTCTATGTTCTATGCTACTACTAAAAAAAGTAATTCTTTACCCGACCCGGGAATCGAACCCGAGACGACACGTGCTCCATCGTAGACCGCATATTAGCCTACCAGGCGAGATAGTGGTCAAACGTCCCTCAGCACATGTAATATTAAAATAAAAAAAAGGATAATCCCCCTGGATTATTCTTTGTTTGGTTTATCCAATGACATTTTTGGTATATTTAACATGGTGGACATCAAAAAAGAAAATAGTCACCGTCTTTATTATTTTTGCTTGCGACGTTTTCAGGACACTTCAGTTTGTGCGGTTGGTGCGGTGGCTGGGCAACCGGCTGCCGTGCAACGTGTCGCGGGTTCGATTCCCGCACGGGACAACACTGTGTGATCCGCAAATTGTTGTTTCGGGTCTGGGTGTCATGTGTATGTGAACTTGTATGTTTGTAAACGCACCCACGACACAGGAGAAAATCCTAGTGTAAGGCAACGTTTTTTTTTTAAAAATGAAAAAAAAAATAAAGAAATATAATTATGTTCCTTCCATTTTCAGGAACTGTCATCTAGCTCAGAAGAAAACCCCGATTTTACAGACATAGAATTAATTCAACACGTGAACCTTGATATATTAAGGCTCATACGATTACTTACAGGTAATTTCGGTTCAATATTTTATTTTACAGTCGTTGGTCTAGTGGTCGGTGGTGGGACTGCCGAGGGAGGAGTCACAGGATCACTGTTTATCAACATCAATAGCCTATAAATGGCCTCTGCTGACCAAAGGCCTTTTCTCACGTGGAGAAGGTTTTGAGCAAATGCCTCTTCTCACACGGAGAACGTTTGATCATTAATCACCACGCTTGTTCGTTGTGGGTTGGCGATTTCAAGCTTATAATTAGACATTATAAGCCCAGGTTTCCTCACGATGTTTTCCTATACCGTTTGTCAGTGGTGTCTAAATAATCTTAGAAAGTACATATAACTCGGAAAAAGTCACATTGGTACTTGCCGCACCGTCATCCATGAGAAGCAGGCATCTTAAACCTCCAGGCCACCACGACCACAACTAAGTCTTATTGTGAATTATTTTAGACTAGCTCCTACCGCGCGGTTTCACCTGCGCTGCTCGGCTTCTATTGGTCGTAGCGTGATGTTCTATAGCATATAGCCCTCCTCAATAAATACACTATCCAACACAAAAAGAATTATTCAAATCGGACTAGTAGTTCCTGAGATTAGCGCGTTCAAACAAACAAACAAAAAAAAAACAAACTCTTCCGCTTTATATAACAGTATAAGATTCACGCAGTACAGACGCAATGGGCGCTAGTGTTGCAACTCCCGGCCACCGTAAGCGCGGGCCTACGGACGGCGAGCATGGGTAGCTCCTCGTCCGACCAGAAACAGACCCGAGCGGACGGCGCCGAGCGTACCGCGCGCGCCTCAAAGAGCCATCAGACCACCACAGATGGGGCCCAATACGGCCGATGCCGATTCGGAGTCGCGGAGAACCTAACGAGTTACCGGGGCTCCGGCTCGACGTACAGGGGAAGGAACGGGGTGGTTTTTAGTCAGTAAGAGTCTAACACTCCCTCCCTCCTCACCCAGGCGGGAGCAGTCATTCGATGACTTTCACCCCTTAAAAAAAAGTGTTGCAACTCAAGAGTACGAAATTTCACAATACCAATGTCGATCGATTTAAATTTCTTCAAGAGTAAGCTCCTAGAATTTTTGAATTAAACGAGAATATACAAGTGTATAATAAAGAATAATAAATAATACATAAACTAGTTGTTACAGAATCTATACAGAAATACAAGCTATTGAAGAAGAATGCACATGTTGTGCTCACCTCGTCTCTAGAGAAAGCTATATGGAATTGGATGGATACTTATCCACAGGTAATATATATATTGTTGGATATTACTTAGGTTAAGAGTGGGGTTAGAATGACAGTTACTATATAAGCCGCGGAATATTATAATATTCGGTCACCATCCGTCGTGCAACATACATTAAGGTTTTGTTTTGTAATTTTGTATATTTAGCGAGGGTAGATTGTTTTCATTTTGTTTATTTAAGGATTTGTTCTTTTTGATGATTGTGTCATTAATTTTTGGATAATTGTGTAATAATTTTAATTTTAGTTTGAAGGTAATAAATTGTCCTTTTTAAAAAATTCAACCTGCTTCTGATTTCTAATAATATATATATTATTAATAAAAATTGTTACTTTAACAGTCTATAAATGGCCACTGCCGAGCAAAGCTTCTCCTCACACGGAGGTTTGATCATTAATCACTACGCTTCCTCTATGCGGGTTGGCGATTTCAAACTTATAATACGGTAGTTGACAGTTAGTCAAATTCAATATTTTTATTGAAATGTCAAAAACGATAATTTTCTATGAATTTTGTATTGGATCGCAACTTATGACGTCATCATATTTCTGCGTCAAACAGCATACTTATTTCTTTAAAATTAGCGAGACAAAATCCAAAAGTAGGTAAATTGTGAAATCAATGGATGAGAGTATGATTATTTTTATAATAACTATCGTGAGACATACTAAATTAAGTAAAAACGCGGGTTACTCACGTGAATATACTGAGAAAAGCTCTACTAGTTTCGAACCACAGAGGGGTTCTTCCTCATGAGCAGCGTGCGCGGTGCGTGTGCGACGTCGCGCAGCTCACTGTAAGTGAGCTGCGCGACGTCGCCGCGACCGAAACTAGTAGAGCTTTTCTCAGTATATTCACGTGAGTAACCCGCGTTTTTACTTAATTTAGTATGATTATTTTTTAATTATTTATTGCATTGAAAAGTTGAAACAATTTATTTTAAACCTAGGAAACAAGCCAATCAGAAATTATAAAGCTCAGGTTTCTTCACGATGTTTCCTTATCCACAGGTAATTTTTAATAACAATTATTACAATAACAGCCTATAAATGCCCACTGCTGAGCAAAGCGTCTTCTCACACGGAGAACTTTTGAGCATTAACCACCACGCTTGCTCAATGCGAGTTGGCGATTACAAACTTATAATTAGAAATTATAAGCCCAGGTTTTCTGACGATATTTCACTTCACCGTTTGTCAGTGGTGTCTAGATAATCTTAGAAAGTATATATATAGCTTGGAAAAAGTCACATTGGTACTGTTCGATATGATTTTGACTCCCGTTCGAGGTTTGAGACTAGTCGAGCGTTCTCGAACTTACTTGAGTAATCCGTACATAATTAATTATATTACCTCTTACCATGAATAAGAAGGACTATGATTTGATTCCTGAGATAGGCAAACTATTATTTGAGACGTCAATATTCGATTTTACCAATCTATTTTAAAATTTATGAAATTTATAATCAAACATAGGTGACCTTTAACAACATTTTGACTAACCTTTGAGTGACACCTAAAGGTGAAGGTAATGAGTTAAATTAAGTGATCCCTCACGTTATGTAACTCTTAGTTAAGTGACGGTTTAGATGTGAGTCGTTAATTTGTTTTTAATTTTTCAGGAATTCGCAGAGAACCAAAGTCGGCCTAATGATGAATTGAGCAAATGTTGCGATTTATTATTTGATCTCTTGCAAGACAGTTTCTCAGACAACAAGAAATCTAGGGTCACTGTGTGGCCGCTACAGATCATGCTTCTATTATTGAACCCTGTGAGTATTGGCATAAGGTTTATTTTTGAACAAAAGCTATAATGATGTCTTTGTTATTCAATAGGGTAGTTGCCAGGGTATGAAAATTAAAAATGTAATTAGTCCGTCAGTTAGGTAATGAAAAAATATTAGACACGTATTTTTTTTAAATCTCTAATAAAGTTACAATACTTAGATAAAATAGCGTTAAGTTTAGGAGTGGGGAGGCCGTTACGTCACAGCGTGCTACAAAATGTGACACGCTGTGACGTCACACGACATTTCGAATTAATATACTGTCGAAAGTATTTATCTTTAAAGATAAAATAAGTGTCTAATGATTTAAAATAGTCTACCAGACGGACATTAAAATAAGATTTAGGTAACCACCCTGTTTTGTACCCTGTTGGGGTAGTTTGAAAGTTTATTGTTGAGCGAAATGATTTTGAATGGTTTCGAATATTGTTTTTTGATTTTGAAACCGGTAACTAAATATTTTACCCAAAAAAATACACATAGAGAAAAGTAATAAAAATATCAGTAATCTGCGATCTAGATTAGCTCTTTTTTTTCGATACTATACTATATGGATTATGAAATATTACGTATTTTCTTCCCTTTTTTTTACACCACGACGGTGACAAAAACAGTACACGGCCCACCGGATGGTAAGCGGTTACCGTGGCCTATGTACGCTTGCAACACTTGGGGCATTCTCTTCAATTACATATATAACATCACCCTTTTATCCGCGAAGGGGTAGGCAGAGGTGCACATTATGCCACTGTACAATGTAACACCCACTTTTCACTATTTATGTTATGAGTCCCATGTAATAGGGGGTGAGCCTATTGCCATATAGGTACCGGGCACAATTCCAGACTCCGTGCTACTACTGAGAATTTTTTTACAACCCATTTATACTCTGCCTGACCCGGGAATCGAACCCGAGACCCCTTGCCCGGCAGTCGCCCTTGCGACCACTCGGCCAACGAGAAGAGACTACCTCTTCAATTAATTAATTTATTTTTACAAACAGAAAGTTCTAGAAGAAATAGTGAATGCGGACAGCGGAGCGCCGTGCAGTCCGCGACATACGAAGAAGAAATTATTCATAGATTGTGTCAAACGCGGACTCAGTGAGTAGTCTTGTACTATATTTTGATTGTAAGACCCCTAAAATACGTCGGCTCCTCATATATAATATAAAAAAACTAAATAATAATTCTTTCATAAACTGCGTTTAAACTACTGAACTTCAACTCCCTCTTTTTTGTAAATCGGTTAATTAATATACTAAAACCTTCTCCCGAGTGTAACATACCGGAGCCGCGGGGAACCTAACGGGTTATCGGAGCTCCGGCTTGAAGTGCCGGTGTAGGAACGCTGTGGTTTTTAGGCAGTAAGAGACTGACACTCCCTCGGTGAGGCGGGAGAAGTCATTCGACGATATTCCCATCTTAAAAAAATTAATAAAAAAGTGTAACATACACTTTTTGAAAACTACATCAAAATCAGTTCAGCCAATCGCGAGATAATCAAGTGCAAATAACATATATACAGGTCAAACTATATGAAATGAATAGTGTAAATAAGATTTTGATTATCCCAACATTTATTCACCCCACGAATTCTATTCACCCTGTTTTAGTGCACTGAGGTAGTCCGTTTATGGTGCTTATGACCCCAAAAGGAACGATTTAGTTTTGGATTCCTATACTTTTGTCTTTAATGTTGTGTCTGATATAGGGACATCAGGGCCTAAAGGCCCTATGATCATGTGATGATGATGGCTAAAGCCAAACGCCACTTTAGCGCTAGTCTACAGAGATAGTAGAAATTAAAATGTATGGGGATGACACTGACAAGTGTCAAAATTTACGTCAATTCTATATAATTTGGTTTTCTATTCTACATTTAGACAAGCGCTAAATGGCATTTGGCTACAGCTGCTGTATAGTTCAAAACTAGCGACCAAACTACTCCAAAATAGGTTATCGATAGAATAGTAACGATGGAGTTTCTTGCTTCTTGTTCTCCATTCGAAATATATTCTGGAACGAGCGCCTAGCTTCAAAAATTGAAAATGTCTTAAGTGCTTTATCAAGGATTAATTGAAATAATAATAAAAATACTGTCATTACATATTGTTAGCGTTTTAATGAATAAAAAGTGTTTATTTCATATCAGAATTCTTATTTAAATCCACAAATATTAGTCAAATGTCAATAATTATCACAAAACACATGGGGTCAAAAGACCCGGCCCAAAGGGGTCAATAGTCCCAGACCCCAATGTATTAACAAATTATATTTTTCTGAATATAAATTCATATTTTTATTTAATTCACACAGGTCCATCAAATAATTCGAAGCAGATGACGGAGGCTGCGGTAGTGACTTGCGTGAAGCTATGCAAAGCGTCCACATATCTTAATATTGCAGACTCCGGGAACGTTACATTCAAACTTGTCAAATCCGTCATTAATGATTTAAAGGTAAGAATTTACATACATAGTTTAAACTTTAAAGTATGATATGATATTGTTTTTTTTACAAAAGTGACAATTTTCATTTTGTCGCCTGATCATTTAAACATAGCGAATTGAAAAATGAGCACAGTGCTGTCGTCCGAGCTCTATTTGAATCACAAAATCTAAAATCATTAGAAAAGTAGAGAATGGGAATGAGAACCTAATGAGAACCTATTTTATAAGTAAGACAGAAATTAAGAACATTAATTATTATGTTTTCGGCTTACGCACGTCACGCTGTTTGACGAGAAGCTCGACTAGTTTCAAGCCATGCTAGAGGCTCATATTCAAAAACAGTAACGCGAATAAGCCGAAAACATAATAATTAATTTAGTATTTCTCATGAAAGTTTTAATATAAAAAAATGCATAATACGTTATTTAAATGAATCTACACTGATGAAAAATAGGTATATTTTTGATTCATTTATTAGCAAAGATATCATATTTGGTTTAGTATGGCTGGTTGATCATTTCACAACACTTTACCCAACAAAAAATACTTATTAACACTTTCTCTTGCAGTCCCTCCTCTTCAACCCCGCGAAGTCATATATCCGTGGCAACCTGGTATCAGGGTACTCAGAGATCGATCTTATGACCGACTGCTTCGTATCCCTGTTCCGGATAATGCCACATAATAACGACGCACTCAAAGTGTGCCTCAATCTGACCACGCATATATCCTACCATTACGTGATTATTAATTCTTTATTGAGGTGAGTTTATCGCAAAATATAATATGTTTAATATGTTTTTTTCAAGCTCAACCGGAGCTCTTAGTGACCTACGTAGGATACTATGACAAGGCGCTGTGAATCCCTAGGGAATTGCCTGACTAATTTTGACTACAACCGGAGTCCGTTATCATGAGCTGCGTAAACGGTGGTGTAGCGCTGTGATTCTCAACACCTTAAACAATGGAGAACTCATTTTGGGCGTATAATTAGTATTTTTTTTGTAATTTAGATGTTAGATGTCATAATAGCTTAATATTCTATAAAACTTATCATAAGTATAATAAAATTAGAGAATATTATTAATTGACCCGTTGGATTTACAATTTGTGCTTTTGACCCCAATCTCGGGACTAATGACCCCAAACGTATTGGAAGAACTCGTACTCGTACTATCTAATGTCTAAACTAATTTACTAACGCCCGAATATGAAAAGGCTACTGATTGGCTATGCCGATATTTCCAGCGCGAGTTAGATTTTATCAGAGGAATAAGTTTCAATATTTGACAATTCTTCCATACTAATAACTGTCAATTGTCAATTTTATTTATTATCTGACTATTGAAAAATCGTTTTTTGTATATTAATTAACTGACTTCAAAAAAAGAGGGAGTTGAAGTTGCTTTTTTAAACGTACTTTTTAAAAGAATTGGGACAATGACAGGGTATGTAAATTAAAAATCTAATTAGTCCGTAAGTTAGGTAATTAAAAAATATTAGACACGTATTTTTTTTATTTTGTCGTATAATAAAACAATACTTAGATAAAACGAATCAAAGTTTAGGAGTGGGGGCTAAAACGTCATTTCTACGTATAAAATGTACATAGAAGTGACGTCACGTGTCATTTCAAATCAATATATCGTCGAAAGTATTCGTTTCTGTAAGAAAATAAAAAATACGTGTCTAATGATTTAAAATAATCTACCAGACGGATATTAAAATAAAAATTAGGCATCTACCTTATTACTATAATTAAGATTTGATTGATTGTGCAGGATAATAAAGCAGCCCCGGCTACCATGGTGGCCGCAGATAGAACTATTGTACCCGCGCGCCGCTGAGCTTCGCGCTATGTTCACTGATACCTCTAATAAGGCCACGCAGGTAGGCTACTTTATATATATAATTCTGCTGTACGTGTGTATGTCATTGAACTCCTCCTAAACGGCTTGATTGATTTAAATGAATATTTCTATACGCATTTGAGTGGCGCCCTGGATGGTTTAGATTCACAAGTCAGCCCGGCAGATGGCCCTGCAGTCGGTAGTACAAGTGCGTAACGGGCCTTTTGGGGATTATGATTTTCAGGATTGTTGGGAATTCAAGATTGGGGGTGATTGGGCCTTTGGTAACCTCATTCACAGTTTGAAACACAATGCTGTGGTTATTTCACTATGATTTTCTGCTCGGCCGTGGTATTACACCGGTCGAGCCGGCCCATTCGTGCCGAAGCATGGCTCTCCCACAAATTATTTTACGCATTGTATTGGAATTATTTTAAACATTTTTCTGGTTTATCTCTTGTATTGTGTGTCAACAATAAATAAGCAATAGCGAGCCCGGTTTTTGACTCCCTGGAAGTGTATATTTTGTTTATATTTTATCGTAAGTTATTGAAATGTCGGTTATTTATGTTAATATTGACATTTAATTAGCCGGCCACTTAAGTCTCACACTTATATTTTTTTTTTATTATATTAAATTTTTTTTACCACCATTATATTAAAAAATAAAACTTTTTGATTAACTGCACGATTCGCGGTGGCTCGGCAACCGGCTGCCGCGCAACCTGTAGCGGGTTCAATTCCCGCACGGAGCAACTCTTTGTGTGATCCACAAATTGTTGTTTCGGGTCTGTGTGTCATGTGTATGATACAGGAGATAATCCTAGTGTCGGACAAGGTGTCTAAAAATAAAAATAAAAAAAACAAACTAAACTAAATTCTGTTTGTCTCTTTCTACTTCCAGGGCTACGTAGTCCACACCCCTCTAAGAATGATATCACTATCCCTGAAATCCAAAGAAGTTCAGTCGAAGTTCAACAAGAGTGAGGAAATGCCCGCGTACAGACATCTACTGCTGTGCATCGTTAAACTTATACATGCTGATCCCATGCTGTGGCTTAGTGTAAGTATCTTACTAATATTAACATAACATCACGCCTTTTTATCCCCGAAGGGGTAGACAGAGGAGCGCGGAGTACGTCGCGTTCCGCGCGCGCCTCAAAGAGCCACCGACCACCACAGATGGGGCCCAATAGGGCTGATGCCGATACGGAGTCGCGGAGAACCTAACGGGTAACCGGGGCTCCGGCTCTACGTGCAGGAGAAGGAACGGGGTGGTTTTTAGTCAGTAAGAGTCTGACACTCCCTACCGCCTCACCCAGGCGGGAGCAGTCATTCGATGACTGTCCCCCCTTAAAAAACCCCTTTTTTGAAGTTGGTTAAGTAATTGAAAATTATAAAATCGTCCAGACGAAACAGTCTTTTCATATCTGACTAATTTGATAACAAACACCCAAATAGTTTTTTGTTTAATAATTCCATCTTTTCCGTCATCAGAATCCTGGGCGTTCAAGCATAGAGATCCAGTCTTCGACTACGGAGCTTATGAACGGCCTGGTCTCATTGGTTCACCAGACCGGCATGGGTGAGATCTCCCAGGCCGCCATGGATGCTATACTGGCTCTGCATCGACCTGACAGGGTCCACATGTGGAATCCAGAGGCTCCTTTGAATACCTTTTGGGATATTAGGCAAGTATTTCAAGTTTTTAAGAAACAATTGTGAGACATACTGAATTACTAAAAATGGCGGGTTATTCCCGTGAATATACTGAGAAAAACTCTACTAGTTTCGGCCCGCAGAGGGGCTCTTTCTCATCAGCAAATGTCGCGCAGCTTACTAGTAGAGCTTTTGTCAGTATATTCACGTGAGTAACCTGCGATGGTTAGTTAATTATTTGACTTTTTTTTGTTAAAAAGACATTTAAATATAGAATGTTATATCTAGACTGCATTATTTCTAGAGCAAGCAGGCAATGCGAGCAAGAACTGTTATAGGTCTTTGTTTTCGGTATTCTGATTGAAAATTATTTCTTTTGAGAAGGGATCGGCTATCGAGATCGAGTATTAAGTTTTGTTATTGACCGAAACGTATATAAAGTTCTGAGAATGATATTGCCTTATCCCTTTTTACAAAGAAATAGTATACAAATTAAATAAATTACAAAAAGAAAGACCTCTACTAATATCAAAGCCAAAGCTAAAGTCAATTCAAATTTAGCCTGACTGCCTCGTTGGCCGAGCGGTCGCAAGTGCGACTGCCGGGCAAGGGGTCTCGGGTTCAATTCCCGGGTCGGGCAAAGTATTACTGGGTTTTTAAAAATCTCAGTAGTAGCACGGAGTCTGGAATTGTGCCCGGTATATGGCAATAGGCTCACCCCCTATTACATGGGACTCATAACATAAATAGTGAAAAGTGGGTGTTACATTGTACAGTGGCATAATGTGCACCTCTGCCTACCCCTTCGGGGATAAAAAGGCGTGATGTTATGTGATGTTAAATTTAGCCTTAAAAGTAATTTCAAATTACCTATGATATACCTATTATATACGATTTTTATTTATAATAAATATCCATCAAATTGTTTTTTTTGGCATTGATAGCCTGAAACACAAGTTTAAATAAACCTAGTTCAGGCAGTCCCTATATATGTATACTTAGAACGTTATTTCCTCGCATATATATTGTATAAGACTAGATTAAGTTAACTATTACGAGTGTTATTATTAAGACTTTTATTACTATAATATATACTGAGCGAACTATAATTGTTAATGTGTTCTATGTTGTTTTAATAAATTTGTTTTATTTGTTTGTTATAAAAAAAAACAATAATCGAACCCCTAAATTCTCTTCCAGCTCACAAGTCCTATACAATATAAGCCAGAAACTGATCCAGCGGCAGATTTGCAACTACCGCGAGGTCCTTAGATGGCTGCGGGACATACTGACGTGCCGCAATGAGTTCCTCGCCAAACATAAGGAGTACGCAAACGTGGGATCACAGATACCTATCTCAAAACAGGCGCACATCAAATTGGAGGTCAGTTTGTTAACCCATCTTTTTCTATACCTTGGATTGTGTTGCTTAACTTTGCTATCGTTACGTTGAACTAACTACTCAAACGTCACTCAATTTTAAGTCGCGCTTAAATATACTTCTGTCACTACATTTTCTTAGTAAAATGACAGAGATGGCATGATATTTAATTTCTTTTTGTAGCCTTCAGTATTCTGATCTTAATGTACCTCTATAAAGATTGGGTGTACTGTAAGTTTAAGTCACAAATTTGGCTAGATTTAGTTGTGTTCTGTCAAAGATTTGAAAACTAATTTGATATAGGAAAAAATGAACTTGCATAAATTCAAATTATGCCTTCATGTTCACTTAAAACTATGGATTAAAATCCACAACCATTTTGAGTGTACTGAAAACTAAAGGACCCATTTTGAACACGTTAAACTTTTAACGAACAATTTCAAACAAAATAAAAAAGCTTCCATACTTGCGCAATCATGCGCAAAGGTTGCGCTCAATACACTCTTTTGCGCAAAACTTAAACACCAACATTCCCTTCATTTGCTCATTACTAAAATTGGCCAGTTGTGCAAACGTAATTAATCCGGTACTTTCCTTTATGAAACATAAATTATTTCGACTGTTAAATACAATAAGATATTAAAAAATAGTCACACTTTCATTAATTGATTTTATGACCAACTTAATTTTAGTATATTTCCAGCATATTTTTAAGAAATAAATATGCTGTTTGACGCTAATAAAACGTGACGTCACAATACACAATCTCGTACAAAATTCATAGAAAACTGTCGTTTTTGACAGTTCGAAAAAAGTATTGAATTTGACTAGTTGGCAAGTACCCAATCACATAACATCACGCCTTTTATCCTCGAAGAGATAGGCAGAGGTGCACATTATACCACTGTACAATGTAACACCCACTTTTCACTATTTATGTTATGAGTCCCATGTAATACGGGATGAGCCTATTGCCATATACCGGGCACAGTTCCAGACTCCGTGCTACTACTGAGATTTTTTTAAAAACCCATTAATACTTTGCATGACCCGGGAATCGAAACCGAGACCTCTTACCCGGCAGTCGCAATTGCGACCACTCGGCCAACGAGGCAGTCGTACCCAATTACTTGCGCAAATTCAAATATAAACCGCCTTGTTCCCTTTACAGGTAGTGTTCTTCATGTGTCTATGGTCCATAGACACGGACGTGGTACTGGTAGCGATGTCGTGCTTCGCCCTCCTATGTCAGGAAGCCGACATTAGGTGTGGCTCCGATGAAATCACTACGCAGTGCCTATTGCCTAACTACGCCGTCTTCCAGGAAATCGCACATACCTCCACTGTTTTGACCACTGGTGAGTTTGTAATATTTTTTTGTACATTTTGTAGGATTAGATCAAAAGTTTAGAACTGAACGTTGAGATGTATGGACAACGGAACGTCCAGGAGAGAGTGAGAGGGAGTAACGAGATAAATGCCATTAAATGAACGGGAGTAAATGCCATTGTGTCCTGCCAACCATCTATATGATGGGAATGCATATTATGTCATGAGGGTCGATGGCAAAAGATGCGGCAGGTATCAGGTCAAAAAATTCCTCAGAGCACTCCCCATGGTATAAGCGATAGAAATTGCACAACGAAGCTACATACTCTACGCATTGCCAAAGTGTCTAGTCTATTATTTCAATTAATCCTTGATTAGGCACTTTTGAAACGTCAAATTGAATAGTTAGTGAAGCTAGGCGCTCGTTCCAGAATGTATTTCGAATGGAGAACAAGAAGCAAGAAATTCCATCGTTACTATTCTATGGATAACCTATTTTGGAGTAGTTTGGTCGCTAGTTTTGAACTATACAGCAGCTATAGCCAAATGCCATTTAGCGCTTGTCTACATGTAGAATAGAAAACCAAATTATATGGAATTGACGTAAATTTTGACACTTGTCAGTGTCATCCCCATACATTTTGATTTCTACTCTCTCTGTAGACAAGCGCTAAAGTGGCGTTTGGCTAAAGGTATAGGAGTTGCAGCGGTTTTGGGTGGTTGTGGCGGGGTTGTCCCACTTAAAAAAAACATGTTATTCATTTGGTTAACGTTTCACTTACAAGCGGCCAGTCAGGATATGGGTAGAGGATGTTATTACAAAAATATACACAGTAAGTATTTTATCCTTTATTTGATTTATTAATCACACATTTATTACAAAGTTAAAGAATGCTACTTGCCGCGGAGAACTTAACAGGTGATCGGGGCTCGGGCTTGAAATGCAGGAGTAGGAACGGGGTGGTTTTTGGTCAGTAAGAGTCTGACACGCCCTCCCGCCTCACCCAGGCGGGAGAAGAGACTGAGAATTTCTACATACACAAATCAACTCGGGAGTTCTAACTCCAAATCCCACACGTATACAAATACTAGCTTCTGCCATCGGCTTTGCCCGCATCCCCGGGAAAAGGTACCCCATGTAATATTCCAGATTCTAATCTATCTAAGGAAAGAAAAAGCATTTTCGACAGTAGGCACCCACCCAGGTATAAAGGTAATTGAAAAATACAGATACTTATATAATACACACTCATACACACACACACACACACACACACACACATCAACAGCCTATAAGTGGCCACTGCTGAGCAAAGCCTCTTCTCACACGGAGAACTTTTGAACATCAATCACCACGCTTGCTCAATGCGGGTTGGCAATTTAAAACTAATAATAAGAAATTATAAGACCAGGGGGCTTACTCTTGAATCCAATTCCGATCGATCGACATTGGTATTGTGAAATTTTGTACTCTTGAGTTGTAACACTAGCGCCCATTGCATCCGTATCGCGTGGATATTGAATGAACTAAATCGTATTGAGTTTGGCTTTATATTCCGTATGCTATTGTAACAGCTACGATAGGGGTTGTATAGTGTTAACATTGAATAATTATTGAGATTTTATTGGATTGAAATTGTATTGGCATTGAGATTGGTTTCAAGAGTAAGCACCCTGGTTTCCTCACGATGTTTTCCTTCACCGTTTGTCAGTGGTGTCTTAATAGATAATAAGATCTACATTATTATATTGTGATAGGCTCAGCTGCACTACAGAAGCGGATAATGGCCTTGCTTCGGAAGATAGAACATTGCGTCAACGGGGTACAACCGGTGTGGGAGGAGACATTCCGTTGTTGGTACGTACCCATAACAAAAACATAACAGTCTTAGCCTCACACCTTTTATTCCCGAAGGGGTAGGCAGAGGTGCACATTAAGGCACTTAATGTCACTGTATAATGTAACACTCACTTTTCACTATCTACGTTATGAGTCCCATATAATAGCGGGAGAGCCCACCGCCATACCGGGCACATTTCCAGACGCCGTGCTACTACGAATACTAAGAATTGCTTTAAAAAACCCAGTAATGCTATGCCCGACCTGGAAATCGTACCCATGACCTCTTGCCTTGCAGTCGCACTTGCGATCAATCAAACTCAAAGTCTTTATTTGCATGTTGAGGTAATACATTCAAGTCTTATGAAATAACAGGCCAACGTTCAAACAATACTGGGTTTTTAAAAAAATTATCAGTAGTAGCACGGAGTCTGTAATTGTGCCCGGCATATGACAATAGTCTCACCCCCTATTACATGGGACTCATAACATAAATAGTGAAAAGTGGGTGTTACATTGTACAGTGGCATTAAGTGCCGTAATGTGCACCTCTGCCTATCCCTTCGGGGATAAAAGGCGTGAAGTATGTAAGTATGCATTAATGTATACAAGAGTACATTAATCACACACCCGTACTCTCTTCGCGGGTGAGAATATTAACAAATATTTTACTAAATATTCCCCCTTCTACCCAGGGATTCCCTCTGCAAGTTGCTCCAGAAGTACCCGAAAGGACAGGGGGACAAAGTGGACGACTGCCAGATGGAAGCAATACACAGAGCCGTTGCTAAGCGACGGGTCTCTCACCATACCAGCAGTGAACATGACTTTGAGGTAAGATACATTTTAAAAAAGGGAATGTTATCCGGAAGGCTAAAGCGATTTTTCAAAAAAAGAGGGGTGAAGTCGGTAATGTGCTCTATTCTACCAATCAAGCCGCCATTTAATGTCCATAATGCAGGTAGTTGTGGAAAAAATTATATTGTAAGTATGCTCATCAAGATAAAGAGTGTGTACCAAATATGAGATCGATCTGTCGTCATGAAGGGCGTGAAATTCCAATTACTAAATTTGACTCAGACAAACAAACGGGGCAAGCTAAATAAAACACTTTAAACTGTCAAACACCAAGCGGTCACCGGTGACCGCAACCTATTGTTCTATAATTGTGTCTATAATGACGGTACTCGACGAGTTAAAAAGACAATAGTTTTTTTAAAGGGATTAGGGAAAGAGAGATTTAGGTATTAGGAGAAAGAGGGATGAGGCGTTGGGGGGGGGGGATAGGCTCTAGAATGCAAGAGCATTAATTCACTCAGACGTCGTTGTTTCACCACGGTCTTCTATGACGCCATGGTATCACTCCGGTTGAGCCCATTTGTACCGAAGTATGGTTTTCCTACATTTAAATGTTTTCTAACAATGATTATTTTTATTTCTATTAACAGATGCAGATCCAAGAGTGGGCGAATATAACATCATTCCTATGTGCGCTCGGCGGTGTCTGCCTCCAGCGCAGGCCCACTACTTCATGGTCGCATCTACATGGACATGGTGAGTGGAACTGCATTATAAAATGTATAGTTAAAGGTCAAAAGTCCACTGCCACCGTGAGTGATGTTCACCCGGCAATGCGTAAGTAATTTCGTATTAATGTGCATGAAAACGTGTGCGTACGCATACACACACGCACGCGTACGCACACGGATACAAATATGCGTGTGCATGTGGGTATAAGCGCTGCAGCGCAACCGATAGTAGTCTTACGGTGGCAGTGGACTTTTGAGCTTTGAACGTACATTATTTGATAAGAGATTTCGGACTGTACTTAATAAGTGGCATGGTTGAGAATCTATATAAATAAAAATGAATTTACCTTCGTTATTCGCGTTAAACCTCGAGAGCGGCTGAACCGATGTGCCTAATTTTGGTCCTGAAATGATTGTGGAAGTTCAGACAAGATTTCAAAATTGAGAAATGAAATGAAATGAAATGAAACATTTATTTGTGATACATAGGTACATTTGGTTGGTCATTTTTAGATTAAAGTGTGCTATGATCAGCCTATTTTAGGCATACAAATACTCGTATAAGAGTTGAAATCAGTAAGTCCATTAATTAGTTAGATAAGTAAATATAAATTTGTCGTGTTTTAATAAATTACATGTCAATAGTGTCCGTCAAATAGTCAGATGAGGAAGACTACTTAATGCTTAATAGATTATAATAAATTGATGTCAATAAGTAGGTAATTAATAGATTATTGTAGTCAATACGTTATAGCTATACATAAGTCAACAAATATTTAGGCGGAATGCAGTTTGCTGGGTCAGCTAGTCTTTTAATAAGATTTGGTAAGTGACAACGTGTCAAAATAGTCGAAATTGAAAAGTGGAATGGATTTTTATCTTATTTTGCAAAATCAATCAATAATTGCTCAATAGCATCAAAATAATAGGGTAGATGACTAATTTTTATTTCAATGTCCGTCTGGTAGATTATTTTAAATCATTAGACACGTATTTTTTATTTTCTTACAGAAACGAATACTTTCGACGATATATTGATTTGAAATGTCGCGTGACGTCACTTCTATGTACATTTTATACGTAGAAATGACGTTTTAGCCCCCACTCTTAAACTTTCATTCGTTTTATCTAATGTTTGTCTGATATTTTTTCTAATATTTTTTCATTGCCTAACTTACAGACTAATTAGATTTTTAATTTTCATACCCTGTCATCATCCCAATTAACACATAATATGCCGCTGCCTTCTATTGATAAGATGTTTAAGCGGGTTAGAAATCTCATAAACAATAGTCCTTGTTTATGTTATTTTTCTTATATATTTTAAAAAGTTCGACTAACTTTTACTTATTATCACTTTCAAGCGTCGTTTCATTTTAATTTATATCATTCGCTTTCCCGCTAAACTAGTATGACAAACTATCCCAAATTGTCAAATACCTTTATTCAATGTTAAACTCTATACCTTCGCGATAAGGTTGAAATTCTAACATCTCTTCAAACGGTGTTTTTCTAGTTAAGAATCGATTGATACCACTACATTTTCTAATGTAATGTAAACTGTTTATATCTCAGCAGATTCAAGGAAATACAACGTTTTGGCGAACAGTTCCCAGGAAGTTCAATATTGCCCTGTTACTCAGTAAGTATTATTTTTTTATTGTAACTTTCGTGAGATCTACTAAATAAATTATTATGTTTTCGACTTACTTACGTAATAATTTGACGAGGAACTCGACTAGTTTTAAGCCATGCTAGAGGCGCATATTCATGAGCAGCATTTCGCAACCCGCGACGCGTCGACTGTCGCGCTGCTACTGAAACTAGTCGAGTTTCTCGTCAAATTATTACGTGAATAAGCCGAAAACATAATAGTTTATTAAGTATTATTTTGTTGAACGCTTTGCTCTTTGAGATCGATTGAATTCTTTGCTCTCTATTAATATTTAAACTTTTTGTTATTTGATAACAAATAATATCTGTTCAATCACCAAGCGGTCACCGGTGACCGCCACCGTCTCCATTATAGACCTTATTCCTGATGTTTAAAGACTACTTTTGTATGAACAAATTTTGGAGATTTTCGGTACAATATATAAAGGGTAGTAATAAAAGCACCGACAAGAAAAGAAGAATTGTCCTTACTGAAAATATTAAATCTACTGCCTAAGATACTAACTTTCCGACTACTGTACATGACTATTTATTGCTACAATACTAACCTAACCTAAAACGTCTGTTGTCGGTAACTTAGTCATTTTGTCGGAGGTTCAGTATTCTATTGGGAAGTTTAGTTTTGTTATTCGAAGATCCATTTGTATAGTCGGCCACAGATCGCTGGAGATTAATTTGTTTTTCGGAACCATTATTATTTTCCATATATGTATAAACGTAATAATAATTTTGTTAACAGATTCATTGGCCAATTACTTCGTCTCCTGCTATGCAGTAACGAACGCTTTGGCCAACAAATACAGACGCACGTCAAGGAGTTGGTCGGCCATGAGATGTCTCCTGCACTATATCCGATACTCTTCGATCAGATCAAGGCCATCATTGACAAGTTCTTTGATCAACAACAACAGGTATGTCGTTGGACTAGGGTTTAGTTTTGATTGGAGATTTTTGTTTGTTTTTTTTTCGGTTATTGGGTTGTTGTTGTACGTTCTAAGTGTCGTTTGTTGGTACTGGGGATTTTTTTAAGTTTATAAATTATGTCAATTTTTCTTAAACTGTCAAACACCAAGCGGTCACCGGTGACCGCAACCTATTGTTCTATAATTGTGTCTATAATGACGGTACTTGACGAGTTAATACGATAAAATATAAAAAAATAATCACTTAAATTTATTAATCTCACGATATACTTAATATTCATATTTTTCGTCGCAACTGCGACTGCTGGGCTCGGATTCAATTCCCGGGTCGTGAAAATAACTACTCGGTTTTCAAAAAAAAAAATCATTATTACTAAGACCAAGTCTAGTCTAGGAATTGTGCTCTTGCTCACCCCCTATTACATGGGATTCATAACATAAATAGTGAAAAGTGGGTGTAACTTTGTACAGTGGTATTAAGTGCTGTAATGTGCACCTCTGCCTACCCTTTCGGGGATAAAAGGCGTTTTGTTATGATGATGATGCAATTTGACTTCAACCACTGCCACTGCTGACCAAAGGCCTCTTCTCACACAGAGACTGCACGGTTGGTGCAGTGGTTGGGCAACAGGCTGCCGCGCAACGTGTCGCGGGTTCGATTCCCGCACGGAACAACTCTTTGTGTGCTCCACAGATTGTTGTTCCGTGTCAGTGTGATGTGTATGTGAAGTTGTATGTTTGTAAACGTACACACGACACTGGAGACAATCCTTAACCGGGGTTCCGGCTCGAAGCGCAGTAGAAGGAACGGGGTGGTTTTTAGTCAGTAAGAGTCTGACACTCCCTCCCGCCTCACATAGTCGGGAGCAGACATTGGATGATTTTCGTCCCTTAAAAAAAGTGTGGGGCAGCATTTTTTTTAAAAAGAAAAGAGAAAAGAATGAAATACGGTTCAACTCCTCAAGTAATCTCTAAGTACCAAGCACCTAATGTCAATTTTATTCAACAGGTAATGCTAACCGATATTAACACCCAATTCGTGGAACACACGATATTTATAATGAAGAGTATCCTGGACATCAAGAAGAGCGGCCAGCCCAATGAACATCTCAGTACTACGTCCATCGAGACACTGATGCTGTCCATCGTCAGGTAAGCGTTCGATTCTTGGTCGCCCCTTAATCGATGTAAGATGTGTCTAATACTGTTTTTACTTATTTATACCATTTTCGACGTTGCTTGACTAGTTTCGAGTAAACCGGGGATCCTTAATATTTTTCACGGTTAAGGTAGGTAAGCTTTTGAAAGTTGAATTTGGAGAAATAAATTCGTTATAGAGTAGTTTAAACGGTAATAATAAAAGTAGGTAGTAGCAGTATGATACAATATTTGTAATGAAGAGTATCTTGTGCCTTTAGCCAAACGCCACTTTAGCGCTTGTCTACAGAGAGAGTAGAAATCAAAATGTATGGGGATGACACTGACAAGTGTCAAAATTTACGTCAATTCCATATAATTTGGTTTTCTATTCTACATGTAGACAAGCGCTAAATTCCATTTGGCTACAGCTGCTGTATAGATATAGGAATAAGACATATTAAAACAACCTATGTTTTTGCATTGGTTTACTCATACCATTTTCAAGAATGCCCAACTAGTTTCGAGCTACACCGGGGCCTTTAAAATTATTCGAGGTGGTACTAAGTATGCTTTTGTGTATAAAAAACTGTATTTGAAAAGTCGGATTTAATTTCTTGGCCCAATAAAGGATGGATAATTTGCACTCGTAAATGTTTATTATAAAAATAATTTAATTATGTTTGTTCCAGATACGTGCGACACCTAGATATGACGGTACTGTCGGTGCACATAAAGACGAAACTCTGCCAAGTGGTCGAGGCCATGATGAGGAGGAGGGATGACCTCGCTTTTAGACAGGTAAACTTCATGATTTTTATAGGACAACTAGCTTTTACCCGCAGCTTCGCTTGCGTCACAAAAGGATAAAAAGAAGCCTATATACCAATACGCATAGCGCCATCTATACCAATTCCTTTGTTTTCCCTCGGGAATATCAATTTTTTTCGGGATAAAAAGTACCCTATTATTTAATCTGGACTTCTAACTTTACGTCTGCAAAATTTCAAAGCAATCGGTTTAGTAGTTACGGCGTGAAAGCGGAACAAACAAACAAACAAACGCACTTTCCGATTTATAATATTAGTAAGTAAGGATAATTTAGTTTTGTTCCGTTAAGTTTGAGTTCCGTCAATATAGACACAATTAAAGAACAATAGGTTGCGGTCACCGGTGTCCTCGCTGTGTTTGACAGTTTAATGGTTCCAAAAAAGAAATTAATACGTTAAACGCCATGCTTCGGCACGAATGTGCCGACTCGACCGGACCGGACCGACTTTTTTACAGAAACGAATACTTTCGACGATATATTGGTTTGAAATGTCGCGTGAAATCACTTCTATGTACATTTTATACATAGAAATGACGTTTTAGACCCCACTCCTAAACTTTGATCCGTTATATCTAAGTATCATTTTATTATACATCAAAATAAAAAAGATACGTGTCTAATATTTTTTAATTACCTAACTGACGTACTAATTAGATTTTTAATCTTCATACTCTGTCATCATCCCTATTCTATGTGAAACAGATAAAATGTATTTTATCCCACCAGGAAATGAAGTTCCGTAACAAGATGGTGGAGTACGTGACAGACTGGGTGCTGGGCACTAGTCACCAGATCGCTCCACCACTCCGAGCTGACGCCTCCTCCATCACCAGGTCAGTTCATCATTATACATGGTGCAAGCAAAAACTTGTGTGAGCGTAAAGTATGCGAGGCACGGACAGTTACTGCGCACTGGTCCGAGTGAACGGTTCTATCTGGGGGTTTACGTGAAATTGATCCGGTATCTGAACACCGTTGTTTCTCTCAACCCCCTGCGCCCCACGACCAGAAGAGGCAGTGCTCAATTAGGGATCCTACGAACTACAATCCCTAAAATTTATTTATTTATTTATTTATTATTATTTATTTAATTCAGACAGGCAGTTGAAACAACTGATAAATGTCTGTATCGTATTCTTCTATCAGCTGTTAATTCGATGTTGTGTATCTGTCAAGTCTGTTTTTGAACTGGTTAACATTCTGTGCAGCGATTACATATTCTGGCAGCCTGTTCCATGCTCCGACCACGCGATTACTCAGAAAGTGTCTGTGAGGAATATTTTTCGATAAGCTTTTACACAGCTTAAGGTGGTGGCCTCTAAGATGAACGTTTTCATTACGTGAGAACAGTTGCTCGAAATCAGTAATGTCATAAGGTCCACTCAAGATCTTGTATGTCTCAATTAGGTCACCACACTGCCTGCGATCCTTCAATGTGGTTAAGTTCAAAACCTTCAAGCGCTCTTCATATGGATTTATTTATTTGGACATCCAGTTGTTGCTATATTTTTATCATTAACTTAAAATTAGGAATTAACATCTTACTGCTAATGCACAACATTTGAAGGACATCACAGCATGCGTTGAGTTGAGAACACTATATCAATTAAATTAAAATTTATCTAATTTCAATTAAAAATGGGAACTTATTTTGTAGTAGCTTTTGTCTGCAGTGGCAGTCGCGCTCTTGTAAACTGTTGGAGACTACAAAAATAATTATGCATTACTTTTTCTATTGGTCACAAATAGTCCGCGAACTAATCTTAAGCATTTTACTTTTTCGAAATGCTCTATACAAACTTCAAAGTCAAAGTCAAAGCATTTATTTCGATTAAACCATAATTTGGTACTTTTGAAACGTCAAAAAATACAAAATAAATAATAGTCTATCAGTGAAGCTAGGTGAAGCTAGGTGCTCATTCCAAAATGTAGATTCGAATGGAGAAGAACGAGCAAGAAACTCCATTCGTTACTATTTTTACTTCTTACTACTTTTCTTCCACCCCCACATTACAGAAGTGGGATTAGAAAGAGATAAAAATTAGTTAGTCAGTCTCTATTTAACTATTTCTTCTATTCTCCCGCGTTTCCAAGGGTAAAAAGTAGCCTATGTGTACTTTAAATTATAGTTCAAAATTTCATCCCGGTCCCTTCTGCCATTTTGATGTAATTGAGTACCAAACACACACAAACATACAAATTCACATATTTTCACATTTATAATATCGGTTCAAGCTAATTTCAACCATCGACTCTACAGTTACAGCGTAAAATCCACTGCAGGCAACCTAACATCCAAGTTTTATCGTATTTGGACCGGTAGTTTTTGCGTGATGCGTGAACATATAGACAGACAAATATTTTTTGAATCACATTTTTCGTTTCGGTGTCCATCTTTATTATTTTTATATTTTCAATGTACAGAATTAACACTTCTACATTATCTTATAACTAGTGATCCGCCCCGGCTTCGCACGGTTGCAATATGCATATATTATACATAAACACCTTCTTTAAGAATCACTCTATCTAATAAAGGAAACCGCATCAAAATCCGTTGCGTGGTTTCAAAGATCTAAGCATACATAGTGTTCCTGACGTCACAACGGGCTCACCACCATACGTGGCCCGCGACCGCTGCGACTGGCGGTCGTATATTCACTCGCTCGCCCGACACGACGCCGTGCGCATATATCGGTCGACCCTTATAATCAGTACCTATTTAAATACAGTCTTTTCATCATACCGAAGTGTTTTATTATTCAAGATCACCAGCAACACACCTGGGGCTTGATATTCAAACACATAGGGACAGACAGACGGCGGATAGCGACTTTGTTATATACTATGTAGTGAAGACACATGTAATTATAGTCAACTAACTAAATAATACACAATGCTTACCATGTCACAATCTAACTACAAAAAGGATACTCCTCATTGAAGACCAAAATGCCCACTACCGCCATCTACGTTCCATTTCCAAACCCCTATCTCCTTACACAGATACCTGGTCTGCTGCAGAGAGCTGGACCAAGCGTGTATGGAAGCAGTGGCTTCGTTGCTGAAAGGTCTACCTCTTCAGCCCGAGGAGTCGGATCGAGGAGATCTCATGGAAGCCAAGAGTCAACTGTTTCTGAAGTAAGTCTAGATTTTTTTATGATATAAGCCGGTAGACGATTAAACGGGTACCTGATGGTAAGCAATCGGCGTCGCCCATGGTCACCTGGAACACCAAAGGCGTTACAAGTGCGTTACCGGCCTTTAGGGGATTGGGGATATTGGAGTTATTCGTTTTTGACTAAATTTGACACAAAATTTCTTATTTATAGGTATCACTAGCTACTTCCGCGCAGTTTCACACGCTCTGCTCAGCTCCTTTTGGTCGTAGATTGATGTTTTATAGCCTATAGCCATCCTCAATAAATACGCTGTCCAACACAGAGAAAAATTTTCGAATCAGACTTGTAGTTACGGAGATTAGCGCGTTCAAACAAACAAACAAAAAAAACAAACTCTTCCGTTTTATATAATATGTAGTATAAGATAAGATTTGGGGTCTAAATTCCTACACTAGAATCCTTTAACGATAGCTTATTGTTAGTACACCCAAACTAGCCTTTTTGGAGAATTAAAACATATGATTTCATCTATTATTGTAAGTTGCCTGACTGACTGCCTCGTAGGCAGAGTGGTCGCAAGTACGGCTTCCGGGCAAGGGGCCTCGGGTTCGATTCCCAGGTCGGGCAAAGTATTGCTGGGTTTAAAAAAAAACTCAGTAGTAGCACGGAGTCGTGAATAGTACGCGGTATATGGCAATAGGCTCACCCTCTATTACATGGGACTCGTAACATAAATAGTGAAATGTGGGTATTACATTGTACAGTGGCAGAGGTTGTATTATTGTAAGTATGTTTTCAGTCATAAATGATATTGTAATTCTGTGAGAGTGAACAGAAAAGTTTGAAAAGAAATAAGATTCTTTTTATCGGTATCCTCTTTTGTCCTTGTTCTTTCAAGATGAAACTCACCTAAAAGATTAAATTTTGCTACTTTTTTACTTACAAACGGGATAATGACAGGGTATGAAAAATAAAAATCTAATTAGTCCGTCAGTTAGGTAATGAAAAATATTAGACACGTATTTTTTATTTTGTCGTATAATAAAACAATACTTAGATAAAACGAATCAAAGTTTAGGAGTGGGGGCTAAAACGTCATTTCTACACATAGAAGTGACGTCACGCGACATTTCAAATCAATATATCATCGAAAGTATTCGTTTCTGTAAGAAAATAAAAAATACGTGTCCAATGATTTAAAATAATCTCCTAGACGGACATTAAAATAAAAATTTGTCATCTACCCTAATACATCAGAAGTAAATACAACTTTATGTTTCAGATACTTCACTCTATTCATGAATCTCCTGAACGACTGTAACGAGGTGGAGATGGCAGAAGGTCCAGGTCGGCTGGAGACGCTACGTAACGCGACCATACAAGCCATGTCCAATCTACTCAGTGCAAACATCGACTCTGGACTTATGCATAGTATTGGTAAGTATTTTATTACCCGCCCTGCTCAGGTCCTATTAATGGTAGCGTGATGTTTTACCTTCCTCAGCCTTCCTCAATGAATGGACTATACAACACAAAAATAATTTTTCAAATCGGATCAGTAGTTTCTGAGATTAGCGCGTTCAAACAAACAAACAAACAGACAAACAAAAAAACTCTTCAGCTTTATATAATACTAGCTACTTCCGCGCGGTTTCACACGCTTTGCTCAGCTCCTATTGGTCATAGCGTGATGCTTTATAGCCTATAGCCATCCTCGATAAATGCGCTATCCGACACAAAAAGAATTATTCAAATCAGACTTGTAGTTAAGGAGATTAGCGCGTTCAAACGAACAAACAAAAAAACAAATTCTTCCGCTTTATATAGTAGTATAAGATGTATTTTTGAAAAGATTTATCATGATTTAAACATTTCCATACTGCCAAACGTTAGATTTCCCCCGATGACATCCAGAACCAAAACGTGCTGTATATGGCTATAGGCTCATCCCCTATTACATGGGACTCATAACATAAATAGTGAAAAGTGGGTGTTACATTGTACAGTGGCATTAAGTGCCATAATGTGTACCTCTGCCTACCCCTTCAGGGATAAAAAGCGTGATTTTATGTTATGTTACTTATACTCAGTGCCGGTTTTAGCACTACTAGCGCCCTGGGCGAGTTTTCTTCGGCGCCCCCTAACTACATTTCAATTACATTCGAAAAAATATTAATACCGCTAGCTGGTGCTCGCGTAACACTACTAATTATTTTATAAAAGCTAACTTGTAATTTAAATTTAAGTAATAGGAACTTAGGCAGTGTATAGTAATAATATCAAAAATACCTAAATGTCATTGCCTAAAATGGGTGCCTTTCTTTTTTCGGGCAGCAGTCGATGATTTGTTAGATGTCAGATGTGGGCACAATTTATTCATATTCGTGTGATCAGTGGAAGTACAATCCATCACTTTGTGACCTGAGGAAACCTGGTTACACTCACGATGTTTTTCTTCACCATTTGACAGCGGTGTGCCATCACATCAGGATAGCAGTCAGTTACTTAATGAATATTTTTAAAAATTCAAGATATATAACACGTACGGCAATTCGTATTTTCTTGTAGATACCACATTAGCCCAGCTAGAAGCACTGGATATTATTAACTCGTCGAGTACCGTCATTATAGACACAATTATAGAACAATAGGTTGCGGTCACCGGTGACCGCTTGGTGTTTGACAGTTTAAGAAGCTCTACGTGCTGCTGGCGTGCTCTGAGTCTCACCAACAATGATGCTTTTATGGTGCTTCAAAGGCAAAATCACAATCCTTTCGGTTTTATCAATTAATTCCCCGAAGACCTTTCTATCATCACACCACCAGACAAACGGCAAAGCGCCACAGATTTACGGCGGATACCCCATCCCGCCTATACGCTCGAAGTGTTTCGTTTTGCCTCAAGTTTTTAGAAGAGTTCTTTTCCATGCTCCGCCTCCTTCTTAGCTGCTGAACTAGCGCGTACGGGCAGAACACAGGTCCGGTATCCAAGAAAATCAATGGTCTAACGTTTAAACTCTTTGTTTGAACTGTTTGTTTTAAAATAATTGTTTTGTAAGTTCACCAATTTTTATGAATGAGAACGAGCTGAGTTTGTTACACTTCGTCTATCTTTTTTTAACCAAAGTGTTTAAATGAGATAGACAATGTGTTTTTCTGTGATTCCCGGTAAAATGAATCCCGAACGAACAATTGAATAATGCGTACCATTTTGGTGTTGCCAACATAAAGAATTTTTCGCTTAATTAAGGGACTTTACGACTAAGTAGACCTCGAACTATGAGAATGGGCTGGGAGAGAAGGCTACGGCGTCCTTTTTCATTCGGCGCCCTGGGCGATCGCCCAACCGCGCCCTACCCTAACACCGCTACTGCTTATACTCTCGTAACTAATGTTATGTGTTTGTGAATCATGTTTTTTGTCATTTCGAGGATTTGTATGATGTATGTGTTTGTCCCCAGACTTGGGTTATCACCGCGACTTGCAGACTCGAGCGGCGTTCATGGAAGTGCTAACTAAGATACTGCAACAGGGGACAGAGTTCGATACTCTGGCCGAGACTGTACTAGCTGATAGATTCGAACAGCTTGTACAACTCGTCACCATGATATCAGATAAGGTAGGGGCGAGAGACGCAATATTTCTTAATCTTATCATGCGGTTATATTTAGCTTGCCCCATTTATTTCTTTAAGTCAAATTTAGTAATTGGAATTTCACCCCCTTCCTGACGACAGATCGATCTGATATTTGGTACACACTCTTAATTTTGATGTCCATATAATCTATCTTTCTATCTATATAAATAAAAATGAATTTCTGTTCGTTAGTCTCGCTAAAACTCGAGAACGGGTGAACTGATTTGGTTAATTTTGGTCTTGAAATGTTCGTGGAAGTCCAGGGAAGGCTTAAAAGGTGAGAAAAAAAATTAAGGCGAGACGAAGTTTGTCGGGTCAGCTAGTATAATATATTTTTTTTCTACAACTACCTCATTTTGGGATATCAAACGAAAAGGATTGATTAGTAGAATAGAGCTTATTATTTAAAACAGTTTAACTTTAGAAATTGAAAAAATATATATTTCCATTAAAATGCTTTTATTAAGTCGACCTGTAACGAGTTATGTAATTAAATCTAAGGATCCTACGGGCCTTTGCTTGGACAACTCTGATCTATAGTATTAAGAGTACTTCCCCTTCAGGTGGCATTACAACATTCCACCCTGTATATTATTCCATACAAATATCATTCCGATCTCGTCACCCATTTTGAAGTGATTAATTATCAAACATACACATTTTCGCTTTTGTAATATAAGTTTGATATTAATATATTGTTTGTATCATAAAATATAAAAGGCTGTCTCCCAACATACCCAGGGCGAGCTTCCGATAGCCATGGCTCTGGCCAACGTGGTCAGTACGTCACAGATGGATGAACTGGCTCGAGTATTCGTCACTCTTTTCGACGCCAAACATCTCCTGGCGCCGCTGTTGTGGAATATATTTTACAGAGAAGTCGAGGTTAGTACTTATTGTTATTTGTTTTGGTTACATTTGCTGGTATTTCAGAAGTACGTACGAAGTTACTCACGTGAATATACTGAGAAAAGCTCTACTAGTTTCGAACCTTGAAGCAGAGATTCTTCCTCTTGAAGCACCGTTGTCTGTTTGATTACTTAGCTGTTTTCAACTTAGTTTATTTTTACAGACTAATTTTGTTCCACACTTCATATTGTGTTATTGCCAAATCGGCCTAATTAATATGTACATTACAAGCGCATGTTGGACAGTGCATTAAAGGCATTCAACCTGTATTGACGTATACTTTATTTGACAAAACTCTCTCTAATTAATCTTCCCATGACATTCTATTGACATTCCTCTTGTGTGAGCTATTACAGGCTCGCACATTGTTTTTTTTTTACAGGTTGTATACTTTTAGTGCACTGTCCAACATGCGCTTGTAAATGAATAAAATGTACATATTAATTAGGCCAATTTTCCAATAACACTTGACAGTTAAAAATGCAAACAAACAAAAAATTAATGAAAATGGCTTATACACATATAGTGCACTCCTATCATTACTAAAGTGTGCTCTTAGTAGAAAATACATAATCCTTGTCACAATTAATGTAATCCCAAGAAAATATGTATAGTAGGTAGCATTAAGTTCGCCCCATTGTTATTGCTAAGTATATTTATGGTAATCTGTGACAGCGTCATGAACAGTGTTTGTTAAATCTACATCTGTTGTTTTCTATTTACTGCAGTTTGCTGTCCTTAATAAATAGAATAATAACATTAATTTCTGCGCCACAGGTATCAGACTGCATGCAAACCTTATTCCGAGGCAATTCCCTGGGCAGCAAGATCATGGCATTCTGCTTCAAGATATATGGGTACGTGTACCTACAGAACCTGCTGGAGCCTCTCATCACGGCGCTGCTCGACCAGGCTGATGAGCGAGGGGATATCAGCTTCGAGGTCGATCCTGCTAGGTAAGATTTTTTAGGAAGGTTGTACGGTAGAACATACTTATTTAAGAAAGAGTTACGAATGGAGTTTCTTGCTCGTTCTTCTCCATTCGAATCTACATTTTGGAATGAGCACCTAGCTTTACCTAGCTTCACTGACGGACTGACTGACAGACTATTATTTATTTTGTATTTGTTGACGTTTCAAAAGTACCAAATTATGGTTTAATTGAAATAAATGCTTTGACTTTGACTTTTCAATAAGCAAATTGCTTACGCCGCGACCTACTTTTCATCACTTACTTTATTCTCCTTATAATTATAATAAGACAGTTGATCATTAACTGTCATCGAACTACTACCGCGGATAAGCATCCAATTAAACTTTCGTGTAACTTTACGAATAAACTGATTATTAAATTAAGTAAAGACGCGAGTTACTCACGTGAATATACTGAGAAAAGCTCTACTAGTGAGCTGCGCGACGTCGCCGCGACCGCGCACGCTGTCTGAAGAAGGACCCCTCTGTGGTTCGAAACTAGTAGAGCTTTCCTCAGTATATTCACGTGAGTAACCCACGTTTTTACTTAATTTAGTCTGTCTCACGATAGTTATTATAAAAACAAACTGATTATTGGTAGATACATCTGTGGTTTTCGTCAACTCATATACCACATATCAACTACTATTACTGATTATTGGTACATCTGTGGTTTTCGTCAACTCATATACCACATATCAACTACTATTACTACTTGGCTACACCTGGGTGCTTATTCTTGAAACCAATCTCAATGTCAATGCAATTTCAATCCAATAAAATCTCAATAATTATTCAATGTCAAAACTATACAACCCCTACCGTAGCTGTTAAAGTAGCATTCAGAGTACGAAATATAAAAACAAACTCAATACCATTTAGTTCATGAAATATCCACGCAATACGGATGCAAAAGGTGCTTTTTTTTTTGAGGGGGGAAAATCATCCAATGACTTCTCCCGCCCGGGTGAGGCGGGAGGGAGTGTCAGACTCTTACTGACTAAAAACCACCCCGTTCCTACTCCTGCACTTCGAGCCGGAGCCCCGGCAACCCGTTAAGTCTTCCGCGGCTCCGTATCGGCATCAGCCCTGTTAGGCCCCATCTGTGGTGGTCTGATGGCTCCTTGAGGCGCGCGCGGAACGCGACGCGCCGTACGCTCGGGCCTGGTTCTGGTCGGGCGGCGAGTCACCCGTGCTCGCCGTCCGCAGGCCCGTGCTTACGGTGGCCGGAGATCGTCTCGCGATCCCCGACGCCCGGAGTGTCTCTCGCGACGGCCGGGGCGTGAGGAGGTTCACGCGCTCCGCCTCCTCCTTAGCTAGCATAACTGCTTCGCAAAAGGAGGAGACGGCATCCCAGTCCCCCTCGCTCCGTACCATGGTCTGAATCAGAGCCGGACGCGAGAGGTCGCCGTCGCCGATCACATCCCTGAGGACACGACGGTGCTCAGCCCACGCAGGACACACCGCCACCGTATGCTCCACCGTGTCCTCCGGGCGATCCTCGCAGTGATGACACTCGGGCGTTTCCTCCCGCCCAATCCGAAACAGGAACCTACCGAAACTAGGAACCTACCAAAACTATGCAAAAGGTGCTAGTGTTGCAACTCAAGAGTACGAAATTTCACAATGTTAATGTCGATCGATCGGAATTGGATTCAAGATTAAGTACCCTGAACCATACAAAGGTGTTTGTTCACTGTTTCGCTTGGTGGTAAGCGATGATACGGCGTTTAATGGAACATGTCTGTATAAGCAACCATGTAGTATTTTCATCAAAAACAGATTTGTGACTGGTCGCAAGTGTGACTGCTGACCACGGGGTCTCGGGTTCGATTCCCAGGTTAGGCAAAGTATTACTGGTGTTTTTTTAAGGAGAACGGACTCTGGGATTCGGGACTTTACTCTTTGAAGACTGAATTAACTAAAAATTACGAGTTACTCACGTAAATAAACTGAGAAAAGCTCTACTAGTCCCAAAAAGTCTATTTTTTTTTTCATCATCTAACCGACAAACTAATTAGATTTTTAATTTTCATACCTTAAAAACTATCCTATTATATCGCATTTCATAGTCACGACGCCGAGCAACAGATTTCGAGTTCTCTATAGCCGTGTCGAGTATATATTTTAGCGTTTTTTTACTTTTTTATTGAATAGAAAAGCAAACAAGCAAAGCCTAGACACACAACACCAACAAATAGAAATAACAAGTGCATTACCGACTTTTTACGGGTTAGAGATTTCCGCGGAGAACTTAATACCGGGACTCCGGGAAGTGCAGGAGTAGGAACGGGGTGGTTTTTAGTCAGTAAGAGTGACACTTCCTTGCCTTACCCGGGCGGAAGAAAACATTGGATGATTTTCCACCCTCAAAAGGGGGGTTATTTGAGAATTGGGGGATTTTGAGGGTGGGGGAGTCATAATAATATTTTTTCCTTATATTCCAGGCTAGACCCAAACCAAGACATAGAGATGAACAGGTCTAACCTAATAGACCTGACCAAGGAGGTCTTCGATAGAATAGTGGGGTCAGCAGAGAAGTTCCCGCCGCAATTGCGCAGCATGTGTCACTGTTTGTATCAGGTAATGTGAAATTAACTTTATTTTGTTTGGTATAGGATTGGAAATTGTTTGCCTAGTACACACGGCCACACATCAATCTATACAAAACCAGTTTATCCTGGTGTCGCGTCGCATCATCTTTCCGCACATTTAACGTTCAGTTTATACTGGGTATGTAACGCTCGATGTGTAGCTGTTTGTACACAAAGCACCGCTAATTAGTTCGTAACGCTCACATCGACACTACTGTCATTTACACAATGTACATGTGTGGGTAATTTCATATTACTGTGTATAAAAATATTCGTCCACCACGTTCACATTGGTATTTTCATTCTTGTGTCGGTATACGTATTTTTATAATTTAATGCATGGGTAAGGTTA